AAAAAAAAATATTAGGAAATAATCTTAAAAAGAAGAAAAAACGATGAAGTAATACAGTAATGATTATTTCTAAAATGATGGTATGGTAAACATCTTTCAAAAAAGAAAGAAAAATCCTAAAATCTTATGAGGAAAAAAAATAATATTTAAAAAAATGGTGGAAAATTTATCGAATTTCTTTCCGGTTTTTTGGTTTTCTGGTTTCCGGATAACGGGTTCTGTACTGTATATATATATATATATATATATATATATATTATGAAATGTAACATTTTGAACAGAACTATTTTTTCCTTCCTAAATTAAAGATCAATTTTAAAATAAAACAAAGCCACTCACTTGTAGATGAGGGAAGGATGAATTCTGTATATGTACTTTTTTTTCAACATTGGATAATAAGTGGACATTTGAAACATCCGAGTATCTTCTTAAAGCAGATGATTATGTCAACTAATTATAATCTCTTTTTTACCTTGGTGATCACATAGTAAACAAAATTAACCCATTTGAAATGTAGGAAGGAATTTAAAAATTTAGAATTTGTAGTTTAAAATATTTTAAATAATATTTAAACAAATTTTGATCAAGTTGGAAGAGGGGAGTCTGGGAAGGGGTTAAAACTGAAAATTATGTGACAATGAATATTTAAATGTGTCTTTTTTTTTAAAAAAAAAGGTATTTATTTAAAAAGTAATTTTGGCATTAAGAAACTTAGAAAACTAGTTTTGGAGAGTGACGCATAATTTTAATTTCCGTCTAATTTCTTATAAACAATTCCAATTGCTAGTATAAAGTATAAATTTTGCCTAGTGTTAAGACATAAATTAATGCATAAAAAATACTGTTGTATACCAAGTGTTATCTCAAAATAAAGATAGTAATATCACTTTTCACTTAATTTTTGAGGAGGGAAATTTAAGATTAAAGGACAAATTTCAAAACTGAGAATATATTTGCCAACTACTGTTGATTTTATAACAAAAATTATATTACAATCCATATATTGTAGTAAAAAACCCCCATTACAACAACTCTTCCATTATACAATTTTATTTTAACATTCAATAGAATGTTCTTACACGATTTTAAAATCGAGCATCGAGATTCCTGTTTACACGATTTTAAAAATAAATGTCGAGATTCATTTTCATGTGACCTAGAAATCACACATTGAGATTCAAATTCACACAATTTAAGTAAATAAATTATTGCATCAATATTTTTATGAAAACTTTGCTAACATTCTAAGAATAAATGCTTCCTATATACACTTTTTTCTAGTTCAATTTTAGGTATTTTTTCAATTATTTAAAAAGTATTTTTGTGCATAACAATTTGATTAATTGGATTTCTATTTTCAGCTTCTTTGTTTTTTATTAAACTCATCCTTGTTTTATGACTCAATGTAAAGTTCTATAAAAATTAAGCATTTTTAAAAAAATTCGCGTTTTTTAAGCGAGTTTTGTCATAATGAGATGACGAAAAAAGGATTGAAACTAGTTATGAGAGTTAACTAATGTGTGCAGTAAGTTTTTTAAATTGAGTTTTTTTCATTTTCTAAGTCTGCTTATGAGGGAATGTATAATAGTCACGATGCACTGGAAATATACATATAAGCAGAAGTGCAAATAATTCTCAGTGTCTAATATTTCCTATGAATAAAATTTCTTTTTAGATTAGAGAAGTCCCTCAAAAATTTTAGCTTTTTTTAGTATAATAACTTTTTGAAAATATTTTTGGAAAGTAAAGACAATTTTTTTACAGATTATTAATTAGCTACAGCAATTAGCTGCCATTCCATTTGAAATCCACGTGGTTTGGTAAATTTTTTGTTTAAGTTATTACTATGGAAATTTACATAGTATTTAAAATCCTATGTTTTAGTACAATATTTCGTCATTCAAACTTTTAATTTCCTAATTGTTGAAGCACTTTTTTATGCACTTGATTAATGATGATTTAACAGTGAATCCAAGTGGTTTTATTGATCTTATTTTCAACTGTTATTGGTACAGATTTCGTAATTGTTTTTAAAATTTTTATACCTTTTTTGATATAATGCTATTACGATCCAGGGATTTTTAACCATGCCTTTGAATGATCACTTCATGATGTGCTTTAACAATGACAATTCTATCATTAATCTGCATTTTCTTCAGGTACATAATTTTTTTTCCTGCTGCCATGAACTGTTGCCATAGTCACAAATCTTCAGATTTTGCTTCAATAATATCTAAATCTTTTGGCTATGTATCATCTGAAATCAAATAAAAATCACACAAAATGTGAAAAATCTGTATAAAAATCATAAATAGTTTAAATAAGTGATAAAGTAGAGGATTGTCATCCCTGTGATAATCAGAATTTAGACCTGTTTTTATATAAACATTACATATAGCACTGCAGTTAGCAATAAATATCCTCTTTTTATATAGTTATGTATTGTATAAGCATATATATGTCTTATCATTTTTAGCGATTATTTTAACCTCAAACACACTATTTATTTTTGGAGATAAAGTGTAATTATAAATTTTTATTTTATAGAAATTTCGTTATGTCAAGAGCCGCTAATGGCCCATCTGCATTAGAAAATGTTAGCTTAGATCAAGATATGAGTGAAGTTCCCTCTTTGAATGAGAGCCAAGATGCTGTTCATTCTGGTTCCCCATCACACATTCCTCTGCAACGTACCGCAATACCACCATCTTCATTACCAACTACATCGTCATGGCAAACTCCTTGTAAATATAAATCTTGTTTACCTTTATTTTGTTTAAAGGCTTTTATTTAAATAAATCAATTCTACAATTCCTCTCAACTCCACTAAATAATGCTTAGCATCGAGTATATAATGAAAACTACATGTAAGGAGAAGAGTTGTAAGTAACCTGGCTTTAAAGAGCTTACTTGATTTTTTTAAACAAACTTTTAAGAATATCTACATTGTAGAAACTGCCATCTCTTAATTAACTTAAATAATAGACAAAATGATAAATTCTGAAATTACACTCTTAAGTAATGGAAATTTAACCTTAGACTGTAAATATATGTAGGTCTTGAAACTTATTCAAGGTTGTTGTTCTTTTATTTTGCATTCTTTTTATCAATTGTAAATCTCTTTTCTGAAGGTACTAAAAATATTATCCAAACTCAAATGCCTGCAAGAGAGATTTTTTTTTGTACTCATTTTAATACTTTCTCAAAAATGGAAAGAAGCTAGTTGTAAAATCAAATGCTTTATTTGTCTTGAATATCCAATCTACGAGGCTAATTTAAAAGCGTTATTTATTCTATAGGTTTATAACATTTTTAAAAAAGTTGTAGTATCTACTCTCATTTTTTTTGTGAACTTTTGTTCCATATGTATACATATGATTATTTTATAGTAAATAATGCTGTAAGAAGCCCTAGTCCAGCTTTAAATGGTGATGAAAACAAAGCACAAGTTACTAAGCCTGGTCATTCTAAAATTGATTCAATCAAGCAATGGAGTATTTCAACCTATAAATGCACTCGTCAGATTTTATCAGAAAAATTGGGAAAGGTAAGTTATCTTAATAATCACTCCTCCTTTATGGAAAAGTTTCGGTCATGCTTTTATTTTCTTTTAAAAAAATCCTATATTGTTAAAAATGTGATGATTTATAATCTCATAGAATCAAGTAAGAAGTTTCAATAATAGTTTTGCTGTTATTGATGTGAGTTGTAATTTTAAGTGCAACAACTCCAGGTAATTCCTCTTCTATTACAATTTTCTTTTAAAAGTCTGCAGCATCATTTGCATTTATTGATTCGCCCATTGGTATAGAATAAAACACAAAATTCTTACCTTTGCATTTGAGTGTACTGAATATTTTTATTGCTTCACATCTCACTATTGTCACATTAGACAAGATGGTATTCAAAATAGTAAGTAAATTAAATGCATACTCAAGATATTTTTTTGCAAATGCTGCATCATTACAGGGCTTTTAAGTGTTTTAATAATGTTTGGCTATTATTTAGTTAGCATGAATACTGCTGACTATTGGGGAGAATAAGGAGTTAGTCAAGTTTTTTTGTAAATTTTTAGATCTGAAAATAAGTTACCTATTTTGATCCAATCTAAAATTCTTTGAACTGTGTTTATCAGAATGCAGTGGAGTACATAGACTTAGGTGCACCCCTTCGCAAGATTTATAAATACACCGCCCTACCTTAGACTGTTTTCTAAAATTATAATATAAAACAAAAACACCATGAAGATACATTTGGGTATTTATAATCATTTATTTTATTTTAATTTATACTAATTTATCTACTTTAATTTGGGCATTTTAATTTAAATTATTTTAATTTTAATGAATAAGGAATTAATAATTGCGATGGAAAGGCAGAATTTAGAAAAGTACTAAATTGGAACATTGTATACACTTATCACATTAAAATGAAATTCATCTTAATAATACGAGAAAATAACTCACTATCTTAAAATAATTATATTCAAACTTTAGTTAAGAGTTATTATTTGTGAAGTGAAATAGGAAAAAATATCTTATAAAAGAAAAAAGAAATATTGTGATTCAAATTGTTGGGGTAGCAACCTTTTCTTGAATGAAGAGCTGCACCCAAGTACCTAGATATGTTGATGAAAATTATGATAATTTCATAAATATTAGTGTTTCAGACGCAATTATTTATATCAGACAACTTAGTAAAATATTTGCATAAAATTAAATTCTTTTAAATGTTAAAATTCATTCAAAACTAAAGAATATCAAGCAGATACTTTTAAAAAAAGAAATTTCTTTTTATCGAAAAACAGATTTGTTGAAAAAAATTTAAAGATGGAGAGGGGGAATAATGGTTTGTTATCATATCCCACAACACAAAATTTTATTTTGAAATAAATTACTTTAAATGTTCTCAAATAAAAGTAAAAAATAAAAAATAGATAAATATTTTATTGAGTAACATAAATGCAAAATAAATATTTTAATTAAGAAATTGTATGTGTTTTAAAATTAAATAGCGTTATTTACGCCACTGTCAGAATGCATATTGATGTTGTATTTTTCGTAGTACTATACTCTCATCGCAAATAAGGTGAACTGCCTTATTAGAGGGCTCAATTTTTCTTCAAAATAATCACTCTTTTTTGTAGCTTTCCTTACTATCTAGACTCATTCAAAGAGAAAATACCACTGAAATGAATAAATTAAACAACTTAATTGAAATTAAATGTTAAACCCTTTTTATTACACTAGGCATTTAAAAGCCATTGCAGTTCTGTTTTGTTTTATTTACATTAGTTTACTTTAAAACAGCTTGTATAAAAGCATATCTTTGTGAGCTGTGTAATTTGAGATGAAACTTAATTGCATATTTTGTCACTTTATTACTCAATTTGATTTAAATAAAACACTAAATCGATATCCTTGAATCTTCTTTATTAGTATCAGCTATGAATTTTATACTTTTAGTTATTTCGGGAAATAATTGTCTTTCAGTAGACTTTGTTTTATTTTTGAATAGGTGTTTTAAACTGATAAATACCCAAAATACCACTATTGAATACCCGAAATACCAATATTGAAGACCCTTAATCTAATGCTTTCTGCAGCATTTTCTGATTACTTGGTTTTCTCTTACATAATTTGTTGATAATCTTAAACAATGGATTTTAAATAATATAACTTCACACTTTTAATTTAAAATAATCTCAATAAGAGTTAAAAATAGTTAAAATTAAAGATGTCAAGAGTTTGTGGAGACTTTGACTTAACGTTGATTCTGTTGCTAAAGGTACACATAGATTTTTAAAGTAGGCATAAAGACATCTTGGGTGTTAGGATTTTCCAGAGTATCAGTAACAACTTACAGAAAAGAATCTTATTACTTCAATAATTTTCTTGCTTCGTATCTAAAAATAATATTCATTTTTAACTCTAAGGTAAAAAAATATTTAACTTGGTAAACCAACTAAAAAAATTTTTTTAACCAAATTTCTTATGAAAGCAAACAAAATTCTCTCCTTTTGCTTTTCAAAGTTTAGTGTGTTTCTTTTGAATTTGTAACAAATTTTATTGAAATTTTGTGCTTTTAATTCATCATGAACATAATGTTACTCAAGTTGCATTTTTAAAAAAATATAACTTGCTTAAGAACCTTTTTAATTATAATGCGTGGAAAAACAAAAACTTTTTTAACTCCTGGTCAATCATTATTGAGGTCAATATGAACAAAAGGAAATTTGAAATTTTCAAAAACTATTTTATTTGAAGAATAATAAACTAAGTTAAAGTTTATTTCTAAGAAAAGGTGTATGCATTTTACTCCCGCTTAATCATTTTTGATGACCAGGAAGGAGATTTGTCCACTTTTTAACCAGTTTCCACTTTTTTTTTATTACCCCTTAATGTATTTAACTTTATTTTTAAAAATTCTGATTTTTTTCACTGATTCACATTTTTTTTATCTTAAAACTTTCCTTTTTGATTTCCAAACATTTAGCTGTTTAAAATAAAATAACTGTATTTATTCCAATTTTCTAAAGAAAGCAAAAAATTCTAGTGTTTTAAATACCCCCAATGAATGCCATTTTTTAAAACTGAAAGTCAGATTACCCAAGTGTTAGCAGTTCTAAACTGTATCTAGTGTGTGGAGCCACCACTGGCAACTATTTGCTGCTATGATCGAGACGTTAAGATCTTTTCGATGGTTTAAGATCTGTGGCTTTTATCAAGGCATCTATGGCTATTAAAAAGCTGAAAAGTGACTATTATTAGTTGTCAAATATATTATAAAAATATTGTTGCCAAACTAGCGAGTCAGAAAAATCTAGTTAAATAATTCATATAAGGATGTTATACTATTACTCCGCCTATTAATGTAGCTGATTTGGGTATGTAAGCCTTTCCATTTATTTGTTTTCTTAAAAAATAGTAATTTGTTAAAAAAGAAATTAATTGCATCTTGAATCTCATCTTATGTACATCTTTTAGTAGCGTATGCATATAATGAATTAATAATTTAATGTAATTAAATGAAGTTATGTTTCATTTTTAAGCTCTTTATTATAGCTTCTCACATATGCAAATTTTTTTTCTCCATTCTCACCTACGTCTGTGCATATATGAAAGGGCATGTATGTTAAGGACAGTCATTACCAAACACTGTGCATTGTTATGTTTATCACAATGCTATGTTTATTTTAATCATATTTGTTTAATTTAGAGTTCTATGATTAATTTGCAGGGGACTCGAACTATTGATGCTGAGATGGAAGCACAAATTGAATTATTGCGAGATACTCAAAGCAAATACTTGAATATTTTGAGACTAGCCCGGGCACTTACTAGTCATTTTTATAATGTTGTTCATACACAACATTCTTTGGGAGAAGCCTTTTCAGAGTTATCTCACAAGTCACCTGAGTTGCAAGAGGAATTTTTATATAATGCTGATACTCAAAGAAGCTTAAGTAAAAATGGTGAAAACCTGCTTGGGGCGTTAAAGTTCTTTGTTTCTAGTTTAAATACCCTTTGTAACAAAACTATGGATGACACTCTTCTTACTGTAAAACAGTATGAAAGTGCAAGGTATGTATTATTTAATTTCATTTAAAAAAATTTTTTTGTGTGTTCCTAATCACTATAATTGGTAAAACCAGGGTCTTGTTTTTAAAATTTTGAGAAAATAATAATTTTTTAATATTAAAGTTGAAAATATAATTTCACACAAAAAACTATATTGTACAGTGGTATGTCTTAATTCAGACTAAGTTAATCCCTTCCCTTTTTGAAGTTCATTTACTACTATTTTATAAAACCTTTGAATCAAAAGAAATTTTTTGAAAATATGTCCAAAAGAGAAACCACACAATCCCATAGAGATAAAAATCACATTGTTTGATTTTGAATCGCAATGTTTGATTTTAAGGTGGAAATGAGCAGCCAATAGGAGATGAGCAGATCACTATAACAGGGTTTTGTAGCCCTGTGATAGCAATCATAAATATCACGCTCGTAAAAGAATAATTGTCAGTTTCTTTGCTCTTATTATTTCTGTTCTTTGAAATTAATAATAATAGATTCTTCATAAATTTGAAATTGGCGACCCCCCCCCCCCCCTTNCCCCCCCCCCCCCGTTTGACCACGGCTGCTCTACTGTACTATAAATTTAACTAAGAATTTTGAACCTTATAAAATCTTTTGCCTTTTAAGTAATTCCTTTTGTAATTTTAAATATTGGAATTGGCAGGTAAGGTGGTTAATGATGAAGTTTTTTTGTTTGAAATTCGTTAAATTATTGGGTGAAACCCATGAGTTTTGTTTTTGGTATTTTAATATGTGACTATTTCATACATAATGCATGCATGTAGTAGGTAGACGGAATAATGAATTTTTATTGATATTGATGCACACGACTTATAATTTTTCATGCTTTTAAGATTTTATTAATGTTTTTTGTTGATCAATATTATTCTTATGTTTGTTTTACTGATTCATTGTATAGCTGCAAGCCATATTTTTTACAATGGTTCTTATTGATCAAGAAATTTTTTCCTCTTAAACTAAACATGAATTCTGTTTGATGGACCAATGAAATTGAAAGTAGGTGAATGGAAATTTTGAAAAACCGTCTTCAAATTTCATCTGAAAATCAGGCTGGTTTCGATGTTTTTAATCCAGCTTTCCTCAATGATGAATAATCATATTTTAATAAAATTTTTTCCTGCTTGCATATTAATTTTTGGCCCTTTGTGCATACATTTTTTAAAACTTCATTTTGAAAAGAATTTTAAAATATATTCAATCTAATAATAATGAAGCACCTTGCATGCATTGAATGAGTTACAATAATTTTAAAAACATTTGTTTATGAAAGCTATTTCATTTAATGTATTACTACTCTTTTAGATTAGAATATGATGCCTACAGGAATGATCTTGAAGAATTAATGCAGAATAATCAAGGGAATGTTATGTCATCTAAAGTTGATGAAACGAAAAAGAATTACATAGCCCATAAAGAAAAATATGAAAAGCTTCGAGCAGATGTTTCAATAAAAATGAAATTTTTAGAAGAAAACAAGGTGAGACTTTTCTTTTATAAAAATGTATGTACATTTTTATTTTAAATAATGACAAAAACTAATTTTCCTTGAGTTATCAAATAGATACCTGACTATTATAAATGTAACAATTGTTTGAGTGCATTACAATTATGTCTAAAATTAATGAGATTTGCCCTATTGCTATACTTTGAGTGGAGTTAGCTTAAAATGTTCTATTTTTCATACATACAAGACAACAAACAAATAAAAATTAAGTGCTTCATTTGTACTCTTGTTTTTAAATGAAACATTGATTACATTTAAATGCTGTAATGTAATCCATTTTAAAACTAATGCATATTTGACAAGATTATATCGTATTTGTAGCCTTGTTCGGCAAGTAAAAATAAGTCGGAACCTATGCTAGACATCACAGAGTCCTGCGCAAAACATTTTGCAAGGCCTTTTGACTCTTCTCTTTCTATGGAGCCTTTTGTTCACTGTTAGGTTTTGCCTAAATTATTGAAATAAATCATGGTTAATTTAATTATATATATATATATATTTAATTAAAAATGAGCATGTTAATTTTTTTAAAATTTTATCTTATCAAATTTTTAATATTGTTTAAGCTTTATTAATGTTTTTTCAGGTACAGGACCTATGAAGTAAAAATGAGTAATTGTGTGGATTTTAATAATTTAATAATTGAGTAATTGTAAGGATTTTAATAATTTGTATTGTGTTTAAATAATCAACTAAAAATATTCAAATACTGATAGTGCTCTAAATCTATGGTTTATATTTTTATGAATAGTTCTCTTGTGCAAGCAGGAGTGATTGTATTTTGGGTTTTTCGTATCTTTCCAGGTCTATAAGCTAAAAACAGGGCGTTTGATTTTTTTTGGAATTCTGCATTAAAACTTATAAGTTTTTTTTTTACCGCACTCTAAAGTTTAAAGTAAGAGTTAAGATTTAAAGTAAGGATTAAGAGTTCTGCATTCTAAAATTTAAAATGTGAAACTTTTGCTAAATCGCGTTGAGACATTTATATATACGCGATTCTTCCGCCAATTCGATTTTTCTTCTTCTTTTGTTTAATACTTGAAACTATGCTGGAATCCACTAATATTGAAATTTATATTCACACAATTTTAATATCAAACATGAATTTTCATATTTACTTGATTTTAAAGTAAAGTATATTTATACATATATATATGTATTTTTACCTTCTTCAATCATATCGTATTGAGTTGGATATTTTGTTTTGTGATAGTTTTTTCTACTTCTAAAATATAAATTATTATGTTTATAGTCTTTTAATTAAAGTGCAGTTTCATTTAATAATAGTGCTTATTTGTGCAAGTAAAAAAAAAGTTGTATCTTTATATTGCAACAGTGGCTATTAAACAATAATTTATACTAATCATTGAATTAATCATAATTTTAAAAAAATGTGTATAAAACTTGAAAGAAAATGAATCTAAAATAAGAAAGAAATTAAGCATTTTTTAAGTTTTTTTTACAAAAACATTCTCTTGAATTGCAAAAAATTATAAAGTTGAAAGTCTTCAAAAATTATGGTTAGAAGTTAGAATAATACCTATATTTTTATCCTATATTAAATATTATTGTTTACCCTTATTAGAGGCAAGAGATTGACACTTGACTGAGGGAACAGCTTTGTTATTTCAGTTTCAATTCTGTGAAGGGAAAAAAAGTAGAAAATGTCATATTTAGCAAGGCTGTAAACTCCCTGGTAAAGAGAAAAAATTGGTTGCAAAATCATTTTATTTGTAGCTTGTAACTCACTGCCTATTTTTTCTAGAAGTTTCTGTAATTTCTAATAAGTCATACTGGCCACATGTATTTTACTCTTTACGAAAACAAGCTCGATTTGATTAAGTTTTAATATCAGTTAGCAATCTTTCTTGGAAACTAGCATTTTTATATTCAGTTTCCTTAGTATGAATTCTCCATTACCTAGTTGACATCTTAGTATAAAACTGTACAATCTAAAATCTAGCTTCCTTCAATTGGTTTTATTATGCTGACCCATTTTTAGGTTTGATGCCAAACAAAATAAGCAATTATTGTTTGTGTGCAGTATGGATATGTATGTGAAGGACAATATATCATCATGTAAAATTTCTAACTCTGCTCAGTCTTGCTGTTATAGAAAAAAACACATGAAATACTATTTTCATATAATTGAAATCAAATTAATTATGTACATTTCTCATTTTCTTTGAAAAAATTTGCAATCAGCTAATAGTAGTTTTTGCTGTGAAATTTAATAAATACATTTCTTCTAAGTAATGAGTTTAATTTTAATTAACCTTTTATTGCATAAACTTGATAAGTTAGTATCTAAAAGTTTCTTTACACAGCTATTTGTTGAAATCATGTCTTAAGAAAGTAAATGTGTTATTTTAGTGTTTTATGTTTTTGTTGCAGGTTAAAGTCATGCATAAACAATTGCTTCTTTTTCATAATGCTGTTTCAGCCTATTTCTCTGGAAATCAAAGCTTGTTAGAATCAACACTGAAACAGTTTAATGTAAAACTCAAAAGTCCAAATGCAAACTCACCATCTTGGCTAGAGCAATAGTATGAAGGAACTGTGTGCTCTTGCACAGGCTTTATAATGTGCCTCAACTGGAGCTCCATTTTGCACCAATGTAGAGTTTCTGTTTGTGATTTTAATTTGAATGCTTCTTACATATAAATGTGTAATAAAACTGCAATATAACTTGGTGCCTTTGATTTAGAATGGAAATTCAAACTAATTGATTTTTCCTACATATATCTTGATCTTTATGACAGAATTTGTTTTAATTATCTGAGATAATGTCTAAAAAATTGATAATTTATTATATTTTTCAGTATTGTAATGCATATATTTTATTTATGAAAATTATTTTTAAAATTGTTTACTTGAATCTGTTATTGTTATCAATAATAAGCACTTTTCTGTTTTATATACTAAATTTTTATTTTGTTATTTTAAAAATTTATTGAGGTATTCTTCTTTTATGTTTATTGATTTTTATTGTTGAATTGTATATTTACTTACCTATAGATAGCATGTATTAAAAAAAGAAACTTTTTGAAAGTTCATAACATGTTATTTTTTAGAAGTGAAATAGAATCATAACATTATCACTTATTATGAGAGATATTGAATGTCTAAAAGCAGAAATATGAATAACGATACACTCAGTTGAAAAACAAATGACTTTTCAATATTTTTAAAACATCTATTCAATGATAGTGCAAAAGAAAACTTTCATTCTGTCCCAACAACTTCACTCCCTAATTTTTATTATATTTTTCATGCTAAGTTTAATAAAAATATTTTTTTCTATCGTGTAAAGGCCTTACATTTTATATTAGAATGTGCACTGAAGAGTTAAAACATTTACCTATGTGTCTATAGTTTAACATGTCCTTGCATACTTTTTCCCTGGAAGTTCAATCTTCAGAGATCAGCAGTTATATGCTGTTGTTGACTACGATTGATTTGACTTGATGGAACTTGCAAAATATTTATAAAATTATATTGAAGGTTACTCAAAAAACTCCAAATATTTTAGCCTTATATGATGTCTTCAAAATTGCATAAATAATACAAGCCCAATCAAAATCTTGTATTTTTCACCCTTTCATACCTGGCAGGATAAGTAAGTGTAAAAAATATCTGCTCTATCAGAAATTTTACATGCCTGAGCATTGTCTGGCATTTTAATTTTTGAGCCCTAATAATGAGTTTAACCAAAAAGTTATGAGTGATTATTTTATTGATGTATACAGGGGTGATTCTGAGCCAAAGTCAAAATTCTGGAAAATTTCTTGAGTTAAGAAAAAAAAAGTTTAAATTGAAAAATTATAAAAAATTTTTAACAAGGTTTTCTTCCTTTTTCTCAATATTTCTTAGTTTACTTAAAATATATTGAAAATTTTACCTATATCATTTACACATACCTATGATGACCTGGAGAAGTAATTAAAATTTACAAATATGTCTTTCCTTCTTGAGTTTATGATTATAATAACTATTTACTGATAAAAAATGAATATTTATCTTGAATATAAGCTTATAAAGTATCTGGCTCTAACTTACAAATAAAATAAACTGTGTTTTTAAGTTTCACCTTTGAAAATTTGATTTCCGGAAACTTCTGTGATCAATGATTTTTTTAAACTTCCGGATTTTTCCCAGAGCACCATCAGCCCTGTGTATAATAAAAGTTTTTATGTGCAAATATTAATCAGGAAAAATAACAAATACAAGGCGATTTCAATAGCATTACAAAAATATCACATTTTTGGTTAACAAGATAAGAAAAAATTTCTAAGCACTTGTTCCAATGTTTTTTTTATTGTAATTTGCATGCAAAATGGATTATATTTTTGAAATTAGCCTTTTGATTTGATGACCATTCTCTTTTTGAGTAAAAAATGTTAAACTTCAGTAAGGACCAAAATCTATAATAGCATAAAAATAGTTCTATTTGTATGTAAATTAAGTTCTTAAACTGAGAAGGATTTGCTAAAAATTTATTTTATTTTCACTAGTTTTTTTTAAACCAATAGTACCTACCTTATTTGTGGTTCAACTTCATAAAAATATTAAAAGAATTTTTTTAATCAGTTATAAGTAAAAATTAATACCTATTATACTTGTAAAAAACTTTAGAACGAATATTCTAGATGATTTTATAACCACACTGATCTACAGTGTGCAAAATAAAACACCTGAATTATTTATGATCATGTACTAAGATTGGTGGTACAACATCTTCATTCAATTCATGTATTTAGAGGCAATTTTAAGTATTTGGAGGTCTAACCTGTAAGAGGGCTAATTAATTTAAGCAGAAGATATTTCTCTGAATAAAATTTTTTTTTGCCAACAGATTTGGATTCAGATTCCTTCAAAATATTAAGGTTAGTCACAATTAGGAAAAATGTAGTCCCAATAACATAGCTTAATCTGGTAAATGGCTGTAAACTTGTGCCTCCTTTTATTGATTTCACGTTTTGCAAACCTTACCATGTCTGGAAATATTTAAAAGAATCAAAATGTTTTGTATTATTCTGCTATACAAAGATTTTTTAACTAGGCAGTTTTAAATGAAAAAAATTTTCTTATGTCTTACACATAAAAAAATTTTTTTAACCCTAAATTAATTGAATAATAATTTTCTCTTTTGGCACAGAATTATCTTCAGTGTTATTATTCGAAAAATTTTTTGATTCACTTAAATAATTCCAGAGTTCTGGCAAAAGGTAAAATTAGCACAGGACTAAGCTTAAGAAAATTTCCTGATTGAACTATTTCGACAGGATCTCTATAGTTCAAGCAGAAAAATAGTCTCAAAAATTTTTTTGCACATAAAATTTGTTTTTCTAAATATTTTCTGAAATTATTTAGTTCCAAAATAGTCAAAAAAATTTGAAGAGTAAGTTTACACATTTTTGACTATCTTTAAATAATAAAAGTGGAACTGAAACCAGCAAATAGTTCTTGCAAAATAAAAATTTAAGAATACAACTTTAAAATTCAAAAACTATTTAACCGATTTTGTTATATTCATTAGAATAGTTTAAAAGATGAAATTAACCTATTCAAATATAATTTGCTTATTTATATTCAAAATGCTAAAGACTAATTCCATCATAAGAAAAAATGGAATTTTACTCAATCTTTTACATTTGATTTTATAATGATCGATCCCGAGAGCTATGCCGGCGGTAGCTTAGCTACCGGCAGGGTCACCCAAGCCGGACAGGTCGGAGGGGAGACACCAGACCAAGAGGAACACCCTGGTCCTCCAGGTTGGGCGTGGGGCTAACTACCCCACCCCGGAAAAAAAACTCAAGTTAAGAAACCTCGACAAAATGCAAAACCCGGCTCACATCCACCCAGACGACTCGGAACGAAAAAGGACTTGAGATTTGGAACATTCGCACCTTGTATAAAGCTGGAGCATTAAAGAGCCTGATAGATGTATTTGTTGACTACAGACTAGACATCCTCGCAATCCAAGAAATCAGATAATTGGGCAATGAAATCATGGATAAAAAGGATTGCAGAATATACTACAGTTGCCAGGACAAAATTCACCAATTCGGTGTAGGTTTTGTCGTGAGCAAAAGACTGAGAAATACTGTCATCGACTTCCAGGCTATTAGCATGAGACTCTGTAAAATCAGGCTAAAAGGAAAACATTACAATACCACCTTAATCTGTGCTCATGCACCAACTGAAGAAAAAGATGCTTCTGAAAAAGATATCTTCTATGACCTGTTGATGAGAAGCATTAACTCGTGCCCAGCACAAGACATGAAGATCGTTATCGGAGACTTCAACGCTAAAATTGGAAAAGAGCAACACCTTAGATACCACGCGGGTGCTGAAAGCCTGCACTACTACACCAGTGAAAATGGACAGACTTTTTGATCTTGCAGTCTCAGAGAATCTGTTTATTCCTAGCACAGCATTCCCTCATAAAGAAGTCCACAAGCACACCTGGCGATCCCCAGATGGATCTACACATAATCAAATTGACCATCTACTTGTGGACAAGAGACACCGCAGCAATGTACTTGATGTGAGAAGCTGTAGGGGAGCAAATGTAGATACAGACCAGGTACTCGTCGTGTCCAAAGTGAGACTTCGACTCTGTAAAAGTTTTTATCAAAAGAAGGAAAACAAGGACTTTAAACTTGACATTTCTAAACTGAAAAACAACGAAATTCTTAAAGAGTATAACATCAAGCTATCCAACCGACTTTCTGAAGAAAAAGGAAGACCGAACATTGTTTTTTAACTGGAATACAATAAAAGACATAGTCTTGAAATCTGCAAGTGATACTATTCCAGAACTGGGGCGTCCTTCCAAAAACAAATGGTTCGATAAAGACTGCCATAAAGCAACTGAGGAAAAAAATAAGGCATATAGACTAACGCTACAGAAACATCGCACACGTTTCTTTGAAGAACAATATAAGAACCTGAGAAGAATAGAAAAGAGACTACATAAAGCAAAAAAGAAAGCCTTCTTTGAGAAATCACTGGAAGATCTGGAAACCATGAATAACCGAAATGAATGTAGGAAGTTTTACAAAAAAGTCAATTATATGCGAAGTGAGTTAAAACCAAGAACTATTACCTGGAGAAACAATGAAGGTGAACTCGTAAGTGAGCCTCAAGAGGTAACCAAAGTTTGGAAGAGCTACTTCCAAGACTTGCTAGTAGGCAAGGATGATATTTCTGTCCCTCGCAACAACCCAGTAGATCTAGCCATACTGAGGGATGCAGATAACCCTCCACCTTCAATCGATGAAGTGATAATGGCTATTAAAAAACTCAGAAACAACAGATCGGCTGGTCCCGATTGTATCCCATCTGAGCTTCTTAAAACCGGCGAACCCCAGTTTATTGATGCAATCCATAAACTCCTAAATGAAATCTGAGACACTGAGAATATACCCATTGAATGGGTAGAAGGTTCCATCTGCCCTATTTTTAAAAAAGGAGATCAACTTGAATGTCGTAACTACAGAGGTATAACACTCCTCAATACGGCATATAAAATCTTCTCCAATATTCTTTTCAAAAGGCTCCAGCCTTTTGCTGATAAAGCGGTCGGAAATTACCAATGTGGATTCAGGCCTCAAAGGTCTACCATTGACCAAATTCATACTCTAAGACAGATCCTTGAAAAAACTAAAGAGTTCAACATCAGGACTTTTCACATATTTATAGACTTCAAAGCGACAGTATTAAAAGAGATAAATTATTTGAAGCGATGAACGAGTTCGGAATCCCCACAAAACTCGCAAGTCTCACCCGTGCCACTATCAACAATGTGAGATGCAGGATTAAAATCCAAAGCCATCTATCTGAACCTTTCATTACCGAAAGAGGCCTGCGTCAGGGAGACTCTCTTGTCTGCTTTTTAACCTGGCATTGGAGAAATGCATTAGGGATAGCGGATTAAACCGAGGAGGATCTATTTGGAACAGATCTCTTCAAATCCTCGCTTATGCGGACGACATTGATATCATAGGAAGATCAGAACGGGCTGTTAAAGATGCCTTTCAAGCCCTTTAGGCCTCTGCTATAAATATGGGCCTTTCCATTAACGAAGACAAGACCAAATTCATGGAGTTTTCAAGCTCAACTGTAAACTATAGTGAACCTTCGCAGATAAACGGACATTCCTTTGAAAAGGTTAAAGAATTTAAATATCTTGGTACAATTATCAATGACCAAAACAATCTGAAATTGACAATAGAATCAATATGGCCAACAAATGTTTTTTTGGACTAAAAAGTCAACTAAGATCGAATTTTATTAGCCGAAAAACAAAACTAAAATTATATAAGACACTCATTCTGCCTGTCTTGCTATACGGAAACGAAACCTGGACTTTAAACCTTGACGTCCAACGCCCGATAGAAACGTTTGAAAGAAAGATACTTAGAACTATCTTTGGTGCCATACCAGAGGGGGGATGTTGGCGAACACGGTACAACTTTGAACTTTATGGGCTCTATAAACATCCTCAAATTATGCAGATAATCCGAAGCAACCGACTAAGATGGCTCGGCCATATATGGAGAGGCTCTGAAGATAGCCCTGTAAAAATTGCCACCTTCAAGAACCCTCAGGGGTCCCGCTCTAGAGGTAGACCACCTACTCGATGGCTCAACAACACCGAAAACGACCTCAAAGTCCTAAAACTTAAGAACTGGAGGGGAGTTGCCATGGACAGAGGGAGCTGGAGGGCGTGTTGTTGAGGCAGCCAAAGCCTGCAAAGGGCTGTTGCGCTCCTGAAGAAGATTTGTTTTTCTAAATATTTTTTGAAATTATTTAGTTCCAAAATAGTCAAAAAAATTTGAAGAGTAAGTTTACACATTTTTGACTATCTTTAAATAATAAAAGTGGAACTGAAACCAGCAAATAGTTCTTGCAAAATAAAAATTTAAGAATACAACTTTAAAATTCAAAAACTATTTAACCGATTTTGTTATATTCATTAGAATAGTTTAAAAGATGAAATTAACCTATTCAAATATAATTTGCTTATTTATATTCAAAATGCTAAAGACTAATTCCATCATAAGAAAAAATGGAATTTTACTCGATCTTTTACATTTGATTTTATAATGCAGCTGATTTTAACACCCTCACCTAGACAAAGTTAATGTTTACAAAAATACACTATAAACTAACCTATTCAAAATGCTAAAGACTAATTCCATCATAAGAAAAAATGGAATTTTACTCGATCTTTTACATTTGATTTTATAATGCAGCTGATTTTAACACCCTCACCTAGACAAAGTTAATGTTTACAAAAATACACTATAAACTAAATTAATTACTACATTGTATTTTAACTGCTTTAATATTCATTTGACACATTGATCAAACAAGAGCTACATTTTTAAATTTACAGAAGAAAACAATGTTAACTTATTGTTTGTACCTGAATTTCAAATTAAAAGATTCAATATAGTTTGAAAGCTATAAAAGTTTTAGTAACTTTCAATATGACCTATAGTCTCAAGGCTAAATTACAATTTCTCCTTGTTTCACAAATCTTGCCACCTACAAAGAAATGGCACGACAATATCAAGCAAAACTTTCGATATAGATATAGAAATGCTGAATTCAAATGAGTTACTTATTTTGGGGCCACTTCAGTGGCTTACCCAAAAAACATTTTATGCTAAGTAAGTGAGAAAAAATATTGTATCTACCATGATGCTCTGGTAGAACAGTCAAAAATTAATTTTTCAATTGAAAGGTGTTTGGTTCAAATCCCACAGCAGTCAAAAATGTTTCTCTTTCTCACATTCAGTAGAATTTCCGTCAGTTCTCTGATTTAATTTGAGGAACTGGAAAGCTGTTAATGAGAAATTCTATGGTTTGCTGATAAAGAATTAAAAATTGAGACTTCAGAATGAACTAAAGCCTAATACAACCTATTCTAACACAACTGTCTACGATCTTGAAATATCAAAAATAGAAACCGTTAAATACACAAATCAATCTTAATATAAAGTCAATGGACATGACTGAGAGAAGTCACAGTCAATTGCAAGTTAAGGGACATGCCTCAAAATTGATATGGTGTAAGGGTCATTGTATTCTCAGTATCCTGATCTTTAACTCAACGAGTGCAACCTTTTTATTTTTTTACAATTTCTTTCTCGATATGCACTACTTACACTTCAATTCACTGTGGATAAATTCTTGCAGTTTTAAATTATTATTTTTTTTTTGCATTAAAAGTGACAAAACATTTCATATTTAGCAGGATTTTCAACTGATCAACATTTCAAATACTCGAACATATAAACAATGTAAAAATCTTCAGTGGCATCGCAGATTAGCCAGCATCTGCCAATGCAGAACAGCATCCATATAACAGCGGTTACTGAATTTGTATAATAACAAATGTATAAATAACAAATAATTAGGCTTTATCAAAAACTTTATTTAAGAAACAAAAATGAAATAGAAAAATGTTAAAAGATAAAATAATGAGAGCATGCTTGATAATAAAAACCTAAAGCAATTTATTTTAGAAATAAGGAAAAAAAAATATATGCAAGCTCTTTCTTTAGGAATCAAACCTCTAGTATCATTCATTCTGTAATTACATTTTAATGACTACCAATAATGCAAACAAAGAGACTCTCACACATTATAGTATATAGAAAATTTTACATTTACAATGAAGATTCTAAACTAAATGATTTTTCATAACTATATGAATTTTTATGATATTTATCACACAATGTATTTACTAAAATGTTCTCTTCAAAACATTTAAGTTCAAAATGCTGCGTTCATAATGAACACACTTTTGGAATGACGTAATAAAGACACTGAAGAAAACTCTTCTATTGATTAGTAGTATATACTAACATAAATGCAATGAAAAAGGGCAAAAACAGATCACAGCTCTGTCACAGGCGTCATTTTTAGAGATTGTTGAGCCGCTTGAAGAATAGTACTTTCTTCTTCAGCACAAGTCTTCTGATATTGTGGCTCCTTTCTACCCCATTTTGTTTTAAGAACTCCAGACAACTTATCTCTATATCTGAATCCCAAAACAACAAATATTGCAGCAGCAATCGATGCTGCAACGATCAATCCAATTATCAGTTGACGTTGAGCATCTATGTTATAACAGTCTAAATCATCATGAGGCAAATTAGAGAGGACTTTACCCTTCAAAGACGGAGGATTGGCACAAACTACTTGTGTAGTATCACCATCACTAGCTGAGAAATTTTTTGTCACGAGAAGTTTCCACAACCAAAAAAGACTACAGTTGCACACAAGAGGATTATCTCGGACATCCAGCACTTGCAGTTCGTCCCACGAGAGTAAATTATTCGGGATTGACTCAAAAGAATTTCCGCGGAAACTTACATACTGGATATTTGGTAGATTGTCAAATGTTCCATCCTCAAGGTGTTTCAACTCTTTATTATGGGTAATGATAATTGTTTTTAGGTTAGTATTTTCTGAAAATGTATCTTTCTCAATATTGTTTAGAAGAGGACAACCATTAATCTCAATAGTGTGCAAATACTTTAGTCTATCAAATGACTTGGCTTTAAGTTCTTGAAATTTATTTTGCCCAATATTTAGCTCTTCAAGACGGATAACTTTATACAACGCTTTTGTTGGTACTTCATACAGATCATTATCCTGAATACGAAGTATGAGAAGAGAATTTAACCATTTAAAAGCTTCAAGATGAATATTTCGAATGCCACATCCATCTAAAGAGAGTTCTTGCAAAGAATTTAATACTGAAAAAGCACCGTCCGGAATGTTTTGCAAAGGATTAAATCCCAAATCCAATTTGATTAATTTGGAAAGGTATTGGAATGGAGTGCTAGGAATGTTAGCTAACTTATTATCACGTAAAAATAAAGTCTTCAGTTTTTTTAACCCAAAGAATGCTTCTGGATCAATGTTAGATATACTGTTTTGGCTGAGGTCTAAGGTTTCTAAATTCTCTAACTGCACAAAAACTTTAGCAGATAGTTCTTGCAAGTAATTTTCATTTAAATGCAATACTTCTAAAGTACCTAAACCCTTGAAAGTATCATTTTGAAGGGTAGTTATCATATTACGATTTAAAAGAATAATTTTTAAATGGCGGAGATCAACAAAACTATCATTATCTAATGTTTGTATATGATTAATAGATAAGTCTAAAAACTCTAAATTACGATAAACGTTAAAATATGTCCGAATAGTTTTGATGAGGTTGTTACTGAGTCGTAATTCCTGTAACTCAGGATTCAGTGTTATGGGAACACCGTCCAAATTGGCAGAGTCACAATCCACTTTAAGAACATCATCATTGCATTGACAACGAACTGGGCACATACCAGAAGTCTCTCTCAAAAGACACAAGAAGTAAAAAAGGAATACAATTATTTTTGGAGACCCCTTCAGCTTATGCATACCTAAAAGGAATATAATATGTTATTACTTTTAAAAAAGCTAATGTTTTAATATGTATCTTTTAAATGGTAAAACTCAAAAAATTTACAAGAAAAGAAATTTTTTAAATCACAAGAGTACAATTTCAGTATTTAAAAATTTCTCCTGAAACACTAATGGAGAAATGCTTTGTTTTTTTATCCTGCTTTACTAAATTTTTGTTACATACACACATAATTTGTGTTAAATTATAAAATAAAAATCTAATGAAATTTCATTAAGGAGATAAATTAACAGCGTGGTAACCCACATGGAAAACCTTGAACACCTGGAATTATCAGGGAATTTTTTATACAGGAAAAGTCAGGGAAATTTGGATAGAAATATGGAAAACATCAGACATTTTTTTAAGGATAATCTGGAATTTTTTCCCTTGATTTTCTGTTATTTTACCATCCATTAAGTCCACTTTTTTAGATGGAAATTTATAGCCTCACAGACAAAATACCATTAACTTAGCAATACTTAGCTTTAGTCAACTGACAAGTTTAAAACATAGGAAACAGAAATGAGTGTCATCCCAGGAGTAACATCCAAGGATCCAAGCTACAACATGGGATTGTACCAAGGACAAATTTTTATTCTTTTTTCTTCTTGAAGTATATGACACAATTTGTCCACCAAAAAAAAAAAAAAAAAAAAAAAAAAAAAAAAAAAAAAAAAAAAAAAAAACATATATATACATCAGATTTATAGACAAATATATAATGTGTTTCCTAATTTCCCACAAAATTCCAAGAACATTTAAATTATTATTTCCTGTATAAAGAAAAAATAAATAAATAAATAAAAAGTTGACTATTGGCTTGCAAAAAAATATTTTTTTTCCAAATTTTTTCATTCTCTTCTTTTTTTTAAATTTGGAAAACATTTGAGATCCCATGGACCCTCTCCTGATTATACATATGAGATTAATTATCACCGAGGTAAAATTCTTTGCTAGTAATTTGTATTAGTTCTGAAACCACACATCCAATGATAAGTTTTATGAGTTATTAAACCAGAGTTGATGTTATTTTGTATTTGGTTATATTTTAATGTTTTTTTATTTATGGGTGCTGATGGTTGGAAAAATTACTTGCTTATCTAACGTTACACAGTACATTTGAAAACTAAAAAATATTTCCATTGTGCAGTGAGATATCTTTGTCACACAAAAGAAGAGCTAGCGACATTGCTCGTTAAGGAAGAAAATTATCTACGTTTCCAATTAGCCTGAATGCTAAACTGTTCAAATGATGAAGAGAAAGACAATGCTTCGATAGTTAATGTTGTACTAGCTACATTAATAGATTATAGAAAGCAGTCTAAGACACATCTTTATATACAATCCAAAAGAAACATCGGTGTATAATTGTTGTTTTTTTTAAATTTTTTTTATAAACTTAACTACAAACATTTCAAAGCAGTTTTCTAAAATTAAATAAATTCTTCAATAAAATTCAAAAATATTTTCAGCTTAATTTTTTTTTTTTGGACTTACTTAGTGGTACAAATATCCAGACTATTCTTTTAATTTCAGTCAAACTCAATATTCTTTACAAGCCAATTTCATATGCTTCCTAGAATAAATCAAAAGCACTTAAGTTTAAAAGCAAAACTACTTACTAAAAGAAATAAAAGAGGGGGAAAAAAAACCTTAAGCAGCTAGCTATTTTTATCAGCTACACCACAGAAATAATTTTTAACTTATTCAACTTCTACTTTTTTTAATGAATTGCATTTTAAGTATAAATAAACTTTAAAACACAGGTGACTATTTTTCATTCATACTCAAAATAAGAATATAACAAGATAGTTACCCAAAGTTTAAATAAACAAAACTGAGCATTCTTACAAAAATTTAAGTAAAAAGTTAAAGACAAAGTGCATCACAAAAATTAAAGCAATTAATAAAACAAAACATAAAACATACTTGAAAAAGTGCTATATTTTACTCACTCATTTTGTTTTTGCTCTTCGAAATATATTGAAAATATAATCAATCAAAATGACCCTAAAGAAGTCATTCAAATTTGGAGTTCAGGACATGAATCCTCCAACATTTATAAGTGAACAAAATATTACTATATCTAGTTTAATTATTATTAAGAATAAAGAAACATCTTGTTTTATGGGAGAAATGAACAAAGTGTAATCATAGGAAATACTTGCCCATTGCATCATTAAGATATACAAAATAATTTTATTATGTAAGAAAAATAATTGATGATTGAGTTTAATGATGAAGTTCATGATGATTGAGGATATTAAATCCTGATTATAAAAGAAAAAAGAACATTTATTTGGGAATTAGTTCATTTATCTTTGCCTACTTAACTTTTAAAGATGAACAAAGCTTTTAACTTCTATTATTGCTGGATAGTACAGTAAAACTCAACTATTAGGACAATTAGGAAAGAGTGTGATTTAACAAATTCCGAATATTTAAGCACTGTAAATCATGACTTTTAACATCCTTTACTCGGTGCAAAAATGCCACACCTTTTTTGTAACTGACACTTAAAAACTATAATAGTTCTGAACAAATAAAAAAACTGCTGAAATACAAAAAAGTCATGTTTAAACAATTAATAGAAATATGTGACATTGTCAGGGACCACATTAAGTGTTCATCACCTAAACAAATGCGATCAAATTGTAAAAACTGTGAAACAAATTGAGTTTTAAAGATTTTATAGATGGTACTTAGCCTGAAATTTCCAGAAATTCATATATACTCCTGACGCTTCGTAAAAACACCAGTTTTACAAAGAAAATAAATCCAAAAATTATTTTTATCCCTTCCTATCTGTGACGTAACACAAGCGTAATTCTGCTTTGGCTCGTTATTTGTGAGCGCTTGATATTTTCTCACAATAGAAAGCAACATTTTCCAGCTATCACTCATTGCACTTTGCTGTTCTGAATACTGCTGATGTCACATAGCCTGCGTAGCTAAAAAAAGGTTGAGTAAAATCCTTTCCAAAGGTTGAGAAAAGTTTATGCACACAATTGTAAAATTCATTTATTTTTCATTGTTTTATTTAATAATAGTAAAAAAAAAAACTTTTGAATTGCAAGGCATGCATTTTTACATCATATTAAAGAATGCAAATGGCAAAATACAAAAATTGAGCAAAACTGATTAATTCCTGAGAAATCGAATTTTGAAAAAGCCATATTTTTAAATTTATTTCTCAGGAATTATTCAACCGAATTTAGACTATTATTAAATAAAACAATAAAAAATCATAAATATTTTCTTAAAGTTATATCTTGCAGGAAATCATTTTTGGATAAACAAATGTTATAATTGACTGTGTAAAAAAATTTTAAAATTTGATTTAAAGTTATCGAGATATCGTGGAATAAGCAAAAAGTGAAATTAATATTAAGGGGTCCAAACTTTGGATTGCTCTCCTGACCAAACGATTGGGACCATATTTTATTGAAAATAAGGTATGTTTATTCAGAGAAATTACATTCTTGCGACTGATTATGTAACTTAACATATCGTCTGCATTTATTAAGCAGATTGGAGATCACACACTTAATTTTAATACTGAGTCTGTGGCGTAACTACCACTATAAATATTAAATAACAATTCTAAGTATATAAGACATGTTAACTTGATTCTACCAAGAGGTACCTTTTGATAGATGACAGTTGACATGGTCTATAATAAAATCTCCCTCAATGGTGACCTGCGGACGTGAAAAGAACATGCCAATATTGATGGATGGCCCACATTAAAACAGTTGATTTGCTTAAAAAATGTACTGCTTAAAGAACAAATATCCGGTGAAGTAAATAATGTCTCCCGGTTAATAAACAACATTGAAGAAAAAAAATAATGAGCAAAATGCTATTAACAAAACAAAAAATGAAAATATAATGAGCAAAATTGATCTAAATATATTAACAGCATCAATCAACTAGTGGTATTCGTTCATCGAATTCTATCACAGATAAAATTCTGGAAGGGGAGTAATGTGGCGTAACTACCACTATAAATATTAAATACCAATTCACTAGTAGGGTGACCTGGGGTAATTCCTGATCAAAAAATGCAAACATCTATTTTGTGAAAAAACTATTAAAGATAGAATTTTAATATTTACAGGAAGTTTGAGGCTATATGAGATGAGTCCTATGCTACCTTCTTTTGTTAGAAAATCTAATTAGAATTTAAAAGATTTTAAATTTTTAGTGATCAGGAATTACCCCTTCTCTTGATCATTTCTGGGGTAATTACTGATCACCAGTTTTTATAGTAAAGGGGCTGTTTAAAAATAATTATACAATGGTAATTAACAAATAAGACATCAAAATCAAACAAATAAACCAAAAAGATATGTTTAAGAAGCTAATAAAACGATTTATTCAAAAGCAAGAATAAAGATTAACACTTTAAATTTTCCAAAAATCTTTGCATCATGCCATACATTTTAGGCAAGCAACCAACTCATTCTCATGCTCTACTGAAATATAAGAAAGAGTTCCCACATGGGTTACTTTTGCTGGATTTTTTAACTTCAATAAGTGAGAGTGTAAAGTTAAGTAAGGTATGTCAACAGCTCTGGCAGTAGCTCTCACACTGAAATTTTCATTTTCAATCATAAATGACAATGATCAGGAATTACCCTACCCCAGTGATCAATAATTACCCCATCAGTAAGGGGCAACATTTGATATAGTTTCCTATAATCAATTATAATGTTTATTGTAATTGTGAAACAATTAAACAAAAGCTTACACTATTTTTATATCAAAGAAAAAGAAAGTAACTCAAAATATTTATTATGAAGTGAAGGAGGGGGATCTTTGCAGAAATGTGCACATTTTGAAACCCATCTTTGAAGTGGAAAATACAGAAAGCAATTTAAAAGATACTTATTTTGTTAGATTAAATAAAAAACTATTTTTAAGTAAATGTAGTTATACTTTAGTAAAGTGTACAAGCATTCTTGTTCATGTCATTATTTACCCCTGAAACAGGGTGATCGTGAATTACCCCGGTCACCCAATATAAGACATGTTAACTTGATTCTATCAAGAGGTACCTTTTGATAGATGAGGGTTGACATAGTCGATAATTATAATCCCTTCAAGTCTAGAAAGTGAAGATCCGATCATCACACACTTTGCGTACTGTACGTATTAATATCATAATGATTATTACAGAGCTTAATAATTCCATTATTTTGCTTTGTAGAATTTAGAATAAAGTAAATTATAAAATTAGTTTGTACATTTTTTAAAAATATAAAAACTGCAGATTTTGACTTATTTTTAAAAGTGTAAATAACATTTATTTTACTCAGATCATATTTATTATCTTTAATGGTGAGGGTACTTATACTTGACTTCTTTTTGCTTACACTTGAAAATTAGCTCGGACCGGCTCTGTAAATAAGATATAATTAGGATATCTGAATTTTGAAGCAGGTATTAGAATTCAATTTTTTTACTAAATGTTGCTGTTTGTATTTTATAAATAACTCACTTTAGTTAATTCTTTCTTTTTAGTTAATTTTTTTTAAATTTGAACTTTTCTATGAGGAAAAAATTAATCATAAAAAACAGTTAAAATTTACACTTGGCTAAAACTTTTGAAATTAGGCTAATACTTTTGATATTTGGTTAATTTACTGGCTAAAAATTTTGTGAGCTCTGATTGAATGCATTGTTTTAGGAGTTTTTATATTTGGGGAATATACATTACATTGCAGAAAGGCACAAAATCTACCTTCATACTTAAACAAATTTTTAAACATTAGTGCAGTAAAATAATTTTTGAAGCTATGGAGTTCACAATTTTTGTGTACTTAATTACAGCAGAAATTTTATTATACTTTTTCCAAAATTATTTATATTATTGAAATTTCAAAATTATATTCTGAACAATTAATCTACTAAGAGGAAATTTTTTTAATAAGAATTAGTCGTTTAAAATTCTGAAAAAAGCCCCCTTTGTAACATTTAATAATTTAAAAAATAAAAAAACACAACAAAGCTTAGGTATTAAAGGCCATCAGTTTTTATGTGCAAATTATCATTAGACCCATTTTTTTTTTTTTTTTAGTGAATCCATATTTTCTAAGGGAAGATTTATTTTTTTCATCTTAATTTAATTGCTTCACATATTAGGTGTGTCTATTAATTTCCATAACTGATCAAATAACATATGTAACTATTTAATGCGTTTAGACGTAATTTCCATTATGTACTCCAGTATTTCATATAAAAGATTCAGAAACTCGTTTTTAAGTCCTTGCTTAAAATGCTCCTTGATTCTGATGTTTTTTGTTTTTTTTTTAAGAGCTTTCACAATGTTAAACCCTATTTCTCCAGCAAATATTTGATTTTAGAGATTGTGGAAATGAATCATTCATCCTACTTTTAAAACTAATCACTTACAGACTTTTTGCACCCTGAACTGAAAAGCCTCGTTTAAGAATGTCAAAGCTATTAAAAATGTCAGAATTAGAGAGTATTCTATACAAGGATTTAAACTGTTGTTTAAGAGACTGTAACAGTCAATTACAGAAGTGCATTATACTAAAAAAAAAAGTATATATACATATTATTTTTTTTAAAAATTTAGTTTATGTAACACAATCTGAATGAAGTACAAATGAAAGTGTAGAAATGAATATACTATAGTTTTGGTTCTATAAACAAAAACTGTCCTCAGTGTCTAAACACTAAATGAGAGTTGAGAGAAAAGAAACAAACACTGCAAAAATGGTTAAACCTATAGGGATAAGTTTGAACAAAGATAATCAAAGAAGGAAGATAATAAACACGTGTTTCCTTTCTCCTTGTTCAAACTTGTCCCTCAGTTCCCTTGGTTTAACACTTCTGCAGGTGTTAGTCTCTTTAGATATCAACTATCATTTGGTATTTAAACATTGAGGAAATAGAACAGAAACTATAGTATGTCCATTTTTTGAACTTTCCTTTCAGCTTTATTTATGTCATTTTTTTCGATTTTGTGTATTACCATGATGAAGTTACAAATGGGTATGTAATTCCTTTCAAGCTACAAATGGGTATGTAAACCCTTTCTCAAATGTGTATGTAATTCCTTTAATAATTTCACACACACAGGAGTAATTTAATAATCATTTAATTAATCATAATTAGATAATTTCTGGAAAAAGACAAACCTTGTATTTTACTTTCATTTTGGCTTGGATATGTTTCTAAACATTTATTCTGATCATTTAGTGCACACAAAGATTAAAATTGAGACAAACTTATCTTTATTATTTTTGTTTAGTAATTTTGCATTATTTTTTCTTGTCTAGTTAAAAGGCTTCAGAAAATGCAATAACCACAGGATTCTTATAATGGTACAAGATACTAAGGAGACAAAAAATCTGTAAAGCATACATACTACAATGTCAAATTGAAATTAATTTAAGCAAAAATCTCTTTCTAATAACAATCATGTGATTTAAAAAGAAATGTAATTTTTTAAATGCATAATAATTGAATTTCTTTTTGTTGAGGAACCAATAGCAAAATTACCTCCACTAGTAGTCAGTGAAGGCTAATAAGGGCACAGAAAAGATGCACATAGCATCTGCCATACAGTATTCTGGCCAGTGTCAATACCCTAAATAGAATAAAGTGTTAAATTACTGATACTGAAAACAATTTCATATCATAACAGAAGGTTACAAATATTATTCACACAAGCCACAAACTATATAAAAAAGTAAAATGAAGAAAAAAAAAATATATTTTTTTTTTATCAATGTGCTAACTCTTAATGACAGATATGTTTTTAAGTAGTTTCAAATGTGCAGTACAATTAAAAACAACAGTTCCTAGCGTCATATTATCAATATATATATATGAGGGTGTGTGTGTATGTATCTGGACTGCACTATATGTAACCATTAATAATGTTTCAAAAATGCTTGATGTCTCTTCAATGAATAACAAATAATTTTCATGAACTATGGTGACAATTTCATTGATTATTTCGGAATACATAGAGTCAGAAGCTTCTTAAATTTTTATTGTTTTGTTATTAGCAGAAATTATCATTTTCAAGAAGAAATTATCTTTTTCAAGTCTAATCACTAATTATGAGCGATAATTACTTCTAAAATAAATATGCTATTTTTTTCTTTCTTTTAACCACAGTAAAATTTTTGTTACCCTATCATGCTTTCCAACTCTTCCGATTTTCACAGATTTTATTTTTATATTGAACGTGGTGTCAAAATTTATAGTACCACATTTTATTCTTCATTAAATAAATTCAGTCTACATACTGCATTTAATACATGTATTAATTGATTGCATTTAATACCATTACAATAAATATTTTAAACATGCTTGCTAGCTCTCTGATAGTGTTTTTAATCGTTGACTAAATTTTCACGAACACTAATATACAATCTCAATTTCATTGGCTTTATCCTATCAGTAGGAAAATATCTTTTTAAAAAGCATAAAAGTTGGCAGGTAGGTACTTGTAAAGCTTTAAAATTTATTTGTTGCATGCCTGATTTGCATTTTAAGCTACACAAAAAGCCTTGTACAAATATATAAGAAACTTAAGTTTTAATCAATGGTGATTTTGAATATGCAAAAAATTGCATCAGTTATAAAATTAGATAACTTAAAAGTTTATTTGTATTTATTTTTAACTGCATATTTTTTAGCAAATCTATTACCAAGGATATTATACTTCAGATAATGTTTTTTTTTTTTAAACCTAAATTTTTTTTCCTTCCTGAAACTAAAAATGACAGTGATCGTGATTTTAATAAAAACAAAAGATTTCATGAATCTCCTCTCATAAGTAACAAGATCAAAAGTTATTAAATGTGATTTGTTATTTATTTTACTCTAATTAGCCACTAACTACAAATCAATGTAAAATGAAGAAAAAATAATAAAAAAAATTTTTTTTTAGCAATGTGCTAACACTTAATGAGATATAATTTTTTTTAGTAGTTTCAAATGTGCAATACAATTAAAAATAATAGCTCCTAGAGTCATATTTTTAAAAATTATGTATCAAGACAGCACTATATGCAATTATCAATGATATTCCTAAAATTCTTGACATTTCTTCAATGAAAATGAAATAAAATCATTAAGTTGTTAGAATTTAATAATAATCTTCATAAATAATCAGAATTATTTAAAAAGAGCTCGTTAGTTAACTTACTTTATGGTGATAATTTTATTGATTATTTTAGAAAAAATAGTGTGAGAAGCTTCTTAAATTTCCGCTTTGTTACTAGCAGATATATTAATAAATAGTTTTTTGCTTTTTTTCAGTTCAATTATTCATTATGAACAATTATTACATCTAAAATAAGTATATATATATATTTTTAACCAGAGCAAAATTTTTGCTTCTCTATAATACTTATGTGTATCACAGGACTGTTTTATATTTTTTCTTTCATCTAAAACCTACATAAAAAGTCTGGCATAAATATATGCAAGAATATTAATTTTAAATCAATGGTGATTTTGAATAAGCAAAAAAAGAAATCAGTATTAAAATTCGATAACTTTAAGTTAATTTTTATTTATTTTTAACTGCATACTTTTTAGCAAATCTATTATCAAGATATCATGCTTTAGATAACGCATTTGTTTTTTAACATTTAAAAAAAGCAATATTTTACCAAGTTGGCTAATACATGATCTGCCATATTTCATTAAAAATGCCTTGAATTTGCAAAAACCACAGAGATAATACTCAAAGTAAGGAGCTTTTAAAATAATTAATTTTGCAGAACACTTTTGTACATAAATGTATAATAAGAAATCGTGGAACAAAACAATATTGCACTTAAAAAAAAAAAAACTTCAAAATAAGTTCTTACACAATTTACAAATTCGATAAGATGTACAAAACTAATTTTCATTTCCTTGACTTAACCAAGAATACCACTTTCTTATAACTTATCTTTTCTCGAATTCAATAACTGTATAGATTTGCAGTAACAAATAATTATTACGTCTTTAAGTGCTTAATAGCACATGATAGTTCTCTAGAATTTAGAAGAATACAATTTTTTTTCTTTCTATCAAACAAAATTTGAAAAAGTATAAACTTAAACAGAACTATAAATTAATAACTATATATTTTTTATAAGACTTCTTTGAACATTTTAACGTGAAAATTATACATACATGTCTAAATCATAAAAAGTCAATAGTATTTCAGCGCACTATTATTCATTCTTTTATAAGTAAAAAAAGCAACATGGGAATATTCTTCATTTAATTACTGAAGGTTACAAACCACTAAAGATGTTAATAAGAGTTTCTAACAACACAACAAATATTTATTTCTTGCCACTCGCTTAATATCAATATTAGTGCAAACTTTCAATCATATTTTTATTAGTTTTTTTTTCTCTTAATGGATTCTCGATTCTGTACGAGCCCGATCTGCACGCCACCCAACACATACGATGTGTCTCGTAAACTATTTCAGATACCGTTTTCATCATTATCGTTTAATTGGTTGGGGTTACCAGCTTTGCACATATAGCATTTGTTTGGCAACTCTGAGCTACAAGTTGGTGGAAGCAATTTGACGACCTACATTTTCTAATAAGTTTTTAAGTATTTGTGTAGGGAGGAAATAAATGTAGAAACTATTGATTTTGATTGATACCGAGCGGTAATTTAAAATTGTGGGACTAAGGATAAATATCCTATTTATAACAGCACTGAAATTTGGTTACTTTCGGCTGCTTAAAAAATCTTGTGTGTAAAAATATATTTGTACCCTCTTGCAGTTAGGTCGGTGAAGGGGTTCTTCCCAACTTCGTCTGTTTGGTCACGTGGTGTTGTAATGCCCGATCGACTACGTCCATTGCTTACAATGCAGACGCATAATTTAAACTGAATTTTACTTTGTTGTTCCTTTAAAAAAAATTTCTTTTTGCATAAACTTTTAACTTTATTTTGTAAATAGACCTTTGCAAAGAAATTTTTTTTCCTATTTCGTAATAACTAAGCTTTTATTTCTTATTATTCTATAACCGTCTTGTATCTTTCACATTTGTGTTTACTTTTATCCTTTATTAAAAACACTTTAATATCTTATTGTTGCTATGCTTTAATCTAAATCTAGTAAATAATTAATCTTCTGTATAAATTTATTTTAACGAAGCTTTTTCNATCCTATTTATAACAGCACTGAAATTTGGTTACTTTCGGCTGCTTAAAAAATCTTGTGTGTAAAAGTATATTTGTACCCTCTTGCAGTTAGGTCGGTGAAGTGTGTAAGGTTACCGTAAATAGAAGCATGAAGGCTGCTAATTTAAATTAAAAAAATACGGATATTGTCGAGAGCGGAACCGGGAATCAGAAATAAGTGACCAGAAACGTTTAAAATTAGTTGACAAACAAATACTGCGCCCCGCGGGGGCGTCTGTTTCAAAACTGCTTTTGATGTGTTCACGTATTTCAAGAAGTCTTGTTTCTTTTTTTTTAAGGTTCAGTAAATAGTAACTTGTCAGAATTTTGTAGCCTACCGGTGAACATTATTTATTCAGCATGTTTTAGATTTGTTTAATTAAAATTTCAACTATTTTGAGTAATCTATTTAAAATAATAAACTTAGGTGCATAATAACTTTTTTTTTTGTATAAAATATGTTCTTATAAATTTATTAATTGTTAATATTAAAATGGAACAAGGGCCTGCTGTGGTACCGGATAAACTGCCTTTTAACTATAATATTGATGAAATACCGACTATTTCTTCTGTAGAACATGTGTCATTTAAAAAGGATTCTGACAATGTTACAATCGGAATTGAGGAAGCCTCAGTTCAAGATGAAAATTCAAAAATTTCTCAAAAAGTGAGTAATTTTATTACTATTAAAACTGTTTATTAATTTTTTTGTGTGTTAAATAGAATAAAACATTTTTAATTATTCAAAACAATTTATAATTTCACACATGAATTCCGGAATGATCACTAAACTTATATGAGAAACGATTTTTCTTATAATGCTTGAAAAGTGAAACAACAACACTGGAGTTATTCTGAACATTTATAATTTTTATTTTTAAAAATAATTAGCTATTTAACTTGCTCTTTTACAAAATCTCATTAAGGCTGAAGGAAAAGAAACTTATTCCAAAACTTTATGCAAATGTTGAAATTTAGTGGATCCTAATCTGTTGATCAAAATTTTCATTTTAAAAATAAAATACTGATTGTTAAATATTATTCAGCACTCTAAATAAAAAGTAGCTGGGTCATTATTGATAAAGTTGCCAATGCGTTGTCAGAAAATTCTTTTTATTAGTTATGCAGCAATGAGACTTTTGTTTTAGTTTCTATAAATCATCATCGATTAAAAAAAATTCATTTCTATTCAATAAATGATAAATATTCTTAATTAAAAAAAACAGATTCACAATTAAATCAATAAAACCATGGACGTTGCATGAAATTTTTTTACCGAAGGGCACATGGTTTATAGGTGCAGATGGTCAAAGGAGATGACCTCAAGTGATGCACCATATAACGGCTTTCTCCCACTTATATTTTTTAATTTAAATTTATTATAATTAATTGTGCTCATTAATGAAAATATCCTCTGGTAATCCCAATCAGTAAGCTGTAAGTCACCAAGTTATCTTCCTTAACTAAAATATAAATCTACATTAATTATAAACAACTGTTCTTTTTTCTTGAAAAGGAAAAATTTCCTTAAGAGTTTGGTTACAGAGTTTAATATTTGTCAGACTTAATGAATAAAGACAAAATTAATATTCAGTGTCATGTTATTGCTTTTTCTCTCTTCTCAAATACATTTACCTTTTTTATTTACCTATTGTATTACTTTCAAAGATATAAGCTGTCTTAGAATATATATTTCTTTTTAATTCAATTCATTTTAGTCTTTTTCTCCTTTTGAAAAAGAGAAAAATATCATTGAGTTGTAAAGATTTTATTTTATTACCATTGTAAAACCTTCGGGAAACCTGGTAATTTTACTTTCAAACTTGTTATTTTTGAAACCTTTACAATTTATGTAAATGTACAAAATAAATAGTTGTTATAAAACAAAAGCTAATAATAGGAAAATTAATAAAAACTGAAAAATAAAATTCAGAATAGCACATATAATTTTGATATCCAGCACAAAAAAATAATAACAATAATAATGTATCATAACTGAAAATAGAAATTTTTTTTTAGAAGGAAACTTTTGATTTGAATTATTTCTTTCCTTGATTAGCGAATAGTCTATTTTTTGTTGTTTTAAGCGTTTAGAGACATTATCATTTAACTTAAAAATTTCTTGCACCATTTATTTTATGCAGTTATTTTTGCAGGAATGATGGTTGAACATTTAAAAGTGACAAATTTATATAAATTATAAAAACATATATAAATTATTAAAAATATTTAAAAAAAAACCAAATGAGTTTTTAAAAAAAAATTGGTTTAAACCAACTAACCCTTCTAATAAACAATTATTCTACCATTTTTCGAAATTTGGTGGATCTCTTATGTGGAAAGCACATTTTATTAACATATCTATCATGCCTTCTTATTTCCCTTCTTCACAGTATTAAAATCATTCTCTGTTATCAATGATATTCAAAGTTATTGTTCTTCATTTAATTTTTTTACATCTTGCTATGATTTTAAAATTTGTTGTTACTAGTTTTAATTTTAATGGTAGTTAAAGTTTCACATGTAAAAGATAATAATTTATCATAAAAAGAAAATGGAAAGCTTGAGCAATTTAAACAAAACTTCAAATTTTATTTAAATGCAATAAAACAGAACTTCAAAAAGAGATACAGCAAAAAATATGAACTTCCTGCTTCAAGGAAGTTTACAATTCAAGAGAACAAGAATAAAATCAAAGAGGCAGCTTTGAGACAAAATATTCTTGGGAAATGTAAGAACTACATAATGGTGCTTATAAAAAATCGGAAGAAGCTCTGTTTACTTGGTTCTGTTAATAGTGTTAAAAACATTCCAATTAATTGTGCAATACTAAAAAGTAAGGTCATGAACTTAATCAGGGATATGCAGGTAGAGAATTTCATCTGCCCAGTTAAATCATTTTAAGCATATAAAAGTAATTTCTTTTCCAATCATTCTTGAGGAATTCCTTTCTGGTGATGAGCAGACAGAACAAGATTGGTATCCTATTTTATCAAAAATCCTTGAACTTTATAATCTTATATATATATATGTAATAACAGGGCTACAACCCTGTTATCAGTGTTGTATTTAGCTTGAAATAATACAACTAAGCCATCATACGTTCTAAACAGGTTTATTTAAAGGTAGGCTGGTATTGATAACAGTTCACGTCCCCACTCCTGCAAAGGAGGGGGCGTGGACAAGACTCCGGACAATTCCGGCACAGCTTATCAGGATCACATCATGATGAAAAGGACACGCAAAACTATGCGTTCTTACGTTTTATACAACACAGATTTGAGGTAAAAAGGCACGCTTCGTACATTCCTTGTAACCTTACGCATTAAGGAAAATCATTTCTGCTTCCTTATATGGAATTGAAAGAGGGAACGATTCTAAAAATAATTCATTGGAAAGTCACCTTTATATAGAAATATAAATCTATTTATATTTCAATGGTATGTTTTCAGCCTTAAATTCCCAAAATAGAATCTCTCTACGCTTATTCTTTAACAAAGACATTTTATGAAAACGAAGGAGTTTTAATTCTTTTATTAATACAAAAGTATTTAATTTTTGTATTACATCTATCTATCTACCTATCTATCTCTCTATGTATCTATCTATCTAACTATCTATCTATATATATATCTATCTATNTCTATTAATATAAAAAGTTTCAGAGCTTTTTATTCACTTTACTTTTTTGGGATTTTATGAACTGAAAAATGACAGTTTTCGTGAGAATGACCCATATATATATATATATATATATATATGAAGCTTCAATTAATCTTTTTATGTTATCCTAATTAATTATTCTAATCGAAATACTTTCTCACACTTTTAAAAGCCACATCCTGTTCTTAAATCTATTTTTGTCTCAACTATGCATTAATTAAAAGTAGGGCATTTCCCCCTTTGCTCTCTGTGAGAATCTCTCGACCCATTTGATAAACCAATTACATTTACTAAGATTTCCCTCTTTTCCCTAAATAGAGACATTTACGGATTTTACTTTGCAAGATTTTCCCTAACATATAACCAAGGAGCGCAACTTTTCGTGAACACACTTTCATGACTGCTCTGTCTAATAATTAATATTTATTGTTTTATCTGTCATAGTTTCTTTGATTTATTGATTAGTTGAATTTATATTTTTGTTTTACTATAGTGTTTAGGGTTAAGATAAAAATGCCATTAAAATATTCTTATTTTGAATGCAATTGAGGTGTGGCAGAAATTATAAATTAAACTCAGAAATGTTCAAACTAATACAAATAATTTGGAAAAATGAATAAAATTCTCGTTTTTAGAATTTGAATTGAAGAGCAACCAAACATTAATGCTTGAGTCCAACATTGGTAATTAGTTCATAGCTCAGTTCTAGCTCAGACATTTCATAAACAAACTAAGTTTCTTATTACTTGAGTGTCAATTCCAACATAGAGATAAAGTGACTAAACACAATCTTACAATGTATAGTATCCGGTTGCATTGAAAATATTTTCAAAATAAAATAAAATTTTTGGATTGTAATTAAACATTTTTGGCGAGGGGGATGTAACATAAAAAGCTTCAATTAATCTTTTTATGTTATCCTAATTAATTATTTGCTAATTATTCTAATCGAAATACTTTCTAACACTTTTAAAAGCCACATCCTGTTCTTAAATCTATTTTTGGCTCAAACGTACATTAAATTAAAAGCAGGACATTTTTCCCTTTGCTCTCTGTAGGAAACTCTCAACCCATTTGATAAACCAATTACATTTACTAAGATTTCCCTTTTTTCTCTAAATAGAGACATTTACGGATTTTACTTTGCAAGATTTTCCCTAACATATAACCAAGCAGCGCAACTTTTCGTGAACAAACTTTCATAACTGCTCTGGCTAATAATTAATAAATAAATTTTGTGCCCTCCTTCCCGGCCTAAGACCTGTTTTAATCCTTCCACTCGGCAACGACGTTAAATTATAAATACTTTTGTATTAATAAAAGCATTAAAACTCTTTCGTTTTCATAAAATGTCTTGGGTAAAGAATAGGTGTAGAGATATTCTATTTTGGGACTTCAGGACTGAAAACTTTCCAATGAATTATAATTAGATTTATATTTCAAAGGAGGAGTTATTATTAAAATCTTCCCCTCTTTCACTTCCATATTAGGAAGCATTAAATGATTATCGATGATGTGTAGGAATACAAGAAATGTTATGACTGGCCTTTTCACTCTTTTTGATTTATAGTATATAATGCAGGAGCAATAGTTTTTGTGTATCTCTTGCTGTATGATGTGTTCCATGTATCCATCCGGAGTTTTGTCCACCCCTTCCCTTGTGAAGAGTGGATGTGAAATGTTATAGCCACCAGCCTACCCGTACATAAAACTAATGGAGGAATAATTTTTTCACGACTGAATTATTTGAGCTAAACATAACCAGTGATAACAGGGATGTAGTCCTGTTATTGCATATATATATATATATATAGATATAACGTAAATGAAACAGGATTATTTTAGGATTTATTACCTGGTAGAACCATAGCAGTAAAAGGTGACTTTTGCAAAGGTAGTAAAGAAAGATTTCTCAGGCATCTGCACCCAATTTTTGGTGATTTCTTTTCTTTCTTCCTATTCCCACTCACTTTTAACACCTTCTTATTGAGCGACGCTTTCATCGTATGCCAAAATGGAATCAAATATTGCAACCCAAATAAATTCGAAGTTAGCTTGTCTTACTGTTATTTTTTAACACAAAACATCTATTTCATAAACTGTTCAAAACCCAGGCAACTGTTTAGTTAAGCGTCGGCACCTGATGCTGAAAACAGAATCAAATTTTTCAACCCTGTGAAATTTCAAGTGCTTGTATTACAGTCAATTTTAATGCTTCCAATGGCAATTAACCTTAAAACAGCATTGATGTAGGGTATACCAGACGGTGGCACTTAACCTTAAAAAACACCAGCATTTAACCTAAATCATTGACTCTTGAAAACATCGGCACCTGCCTTGAAAAAACTACAATTTTAACATAATATGAATTTAAAAATACTGCAGATCTATAATAAATCATTATCCTTAGGTAATAGATTTGCAAAGAATTTGCACACATTTTTAATAAGTTTTACATAGCACATTGATCTGCAGTACTTTTTAATTTATGTAAAGAATCATTAATTCTGGACAACATATATAAATGATCGGCATAAAATAACAAAGAAATTCCCACATAAAAGCTCCTCCCAAAATATAAATGTAAAAAAAATGACCTTGTTGCTAGAGGGTAATCCATTTCCAGAAATCTTCAAGTAAAGCACATAATTATTCTCAAGAGCAATCCGCAAATATTTATAATATTCTGTTTGATGATATCACTATTGATCAAAACTAATCCACAAATGGTTATTTTAAAAATCGCACAAAATTTTGCGAAAACTAATAACCATAAGAAGACTTCAATTTCCGAATCGAACTCAACTTAAAAAAAAGAAAGAAAAAAAAATACTCTTTTTAAAATAAAAATGCATTAAAAAAAAACAGCATTCAAACTCTTGCAAATGTAACTCAAAATCACTTAACTAAACTAAAGCAATCAGTCAGCAGAAAACTAACATCTTAGAACATTTAATCCTCTGAACAAAATTTAATAAATTCCTGCAGAAAATTTCACATAGAGAAAACAAACACCAGAAAAGCAAGTGCAAACATTTTCCAAATCTATACCATGTGTGGGTCTATAATGAAGAATTTTATATGCAAAAGCAATTAGCATAACTGGAAGATGTTTTGAATAACCTACAAGCAGAAAAGACAAATATATCTATAACTGTTTTGACTTGGTATGTTCGAAAGTTATTCTTTGTTTTTTTAAGTTGCAAATTTGTGTAAGGATAAACAAAGCTATTCCTATTAATTTTTCAGTTTTTCTTTTTTAAATTCCATTGTTTAAAATAAAATAATATTACAATATATTAAGTTTTGATTATTGGATATGAGTCTGGATTATATTAAAAAGAAAGGTTTAGAATTTAATTTGTAAAACAATAAAACTCTTTTGTTATGTAGCCTTGTTTCTCCTAGTGACTGATAGTTTTGATAGCTATAACTTTAAGTCCTTTAATTAAATTTACAGTTTAAAATCAGCTAATCTAATTCTAAATTTTTTTTATAGACTCTCTTACTTGCAGCTGCTCTAGTTGGTGATGCCAAAAATGGTCGAGAGTCAAACTTTCTTGAGAATGATCAAAGTGTGAGGTAAATAAAATTTATATTGCTTTTTAAAAGTTCAAAAATAGATTCTTCCAGATAATAGGTCTTCAAGGTAAGCAAAGATCAAAACTTGCATTTTTCAATTAAAAAAAGTGATAATAACTTTAGTCAATACAATAACGGTTTATTAAAAGTTAAATGACATTTAATAATCAACGACAAATAATAAGGAATGTTTACCATGGTAAAATAAATGTCAGTAATAAAATTTAAATTAAACAGACATTAAATTAAGCTTTCTTTTTTTTCATTTAATTTAATATGAAGAATTAGCAGAGCAGTTTGGATAATTGTACAATTAAAAACAAACTACAAAATGGAAACTTAAATCAATATTATGTTATAAAAAATAGTAATAAACAGTAATAGTATTGAGTACATTTTTCAATAAAAATATTTATAATTTAAACCAAAACTATCTGTTTGTGTATTAATATTCAGCTTTAATATTAATAGTTAATTCATTCACCTAAGTTAGTTTCTTTAACAGCTTTTGTATTTTCAACAATCAACAATTTTTCAAGTGTGCTTATTAAAGTAGTATGAATGTTTAAGTGTCCTAAATAAAGCAAGAGAAAGTAGTTAAAAAAAACAACAAAAAAACCCCCTCCTTTACGTAAAATTTTGAAACAGATGAAAGAAATGTTTTAAAAAAATTGGATTTTTTTAAAAGAGATATTATATATTTTTTTATTGTTAAAAAATGTCTGAAAAATAGAAGTTTCCAAAAAGCGAGCATTTGGATATGAGACATTGTGCTGCATTGTTATACATATTGAAAGTTGGAAAATGCTGGAGCAGCTTTCATCACATACCAGAAATGGAATCAAATATTATCGCAAATCATGCCTTTCCTTAAATAACTGCAAATCTATATCAAATGTTATCTCCCCGGCAACTATTTTGTAATGGGTCTGTCTATTATACAGATCACATATTGGAAAAATACCAAACTGTTATTTTCAAATGCTAAACATGTTTTGTTATAACTCTGTTGCAAGTTTCTTAAAAATAAAGCAATATATTAATACAAAACTATTACTTAACTATACTGAACAGGCAAATAAAAAAGATATAATAATAAACACATAAGTTACTCACTTATAAAACATGTATCTTATTTTTTCTTCTTCAAAATGCCTTGAAATCATACCAATCTTTAAACATTCATTGTTTTAGCAAATGCATAGCAATTAAAAATTGACTCCACAGTCATAGTAAATCTTTTCACATACAACAAACTTGCTTCTAAATGTACACTCAATATTGTACTTTATTCAAAACAAAACCTCTAACACAGTCTCACACTCAGATGTACATGCATCATTTCAAGGCACATCACTTCAAAATTAATTTGAATATTCTTAATTTATCTGGGCAGTGTAGATTTGAAAGAAGAAAAAAACATCTAGACAATTCTTTAACCTTAAAAAAAAAAAAAAAAAACTTGTGTGCTGTGAACTTCCAGTCAAATTTATATCTGACAATTGAACTTAATCATGAATAACAATTTTGTGCACAATGCTTCAAAGTTAACATGAAGATCTATGTGCTTATCAAAAAGTACTGGGCAAGTCCTTAACTTTAAGGTATTTTAAGTGGAAACCTTTGCTCTTTCCACTCTGCCGGTCATTATATCATACTTATCTGTGTGCACAAGTACAATGCAAACTTCTCATTGGCAGTTATAATCGCCGATGTTGGCAAGAAGAAAAAAAAAAACTGGTGCAGATGTATTACAAATCATGGCCAAAGGTCATGAACTGATTTAGGTAAACTATTAATGTAGAAAATTTTCTGTGTCCCTTCGATTTTGAGTTAATATTAATGAGGTTTCACTTTATCCACTTAGTTACATCCTTTATCAAGGCTTTAATACTGAAAAGTGTACAATAAGAATAACTTTTTCCCCAAATAAACCCTTATGTACTTATTTTTTTATGTACTTAACCAAAGATTAAACTATATGTTCTATCTTTGAATTTGTAAAAGAATTCGTACAACGGTGAACAAATTCAAATAATGAGTATAGTGGGACGGTTTTTATAAATTATTTAGACAATCTTGATAGTCAGTGCTTATATTTCTAATGTAAATTTTTTTTTTGAGGAAAAAGATAGAATTTTGTCCGGGTCTTCTAAAAAAAAAAAATGGTTTTGTAATATTTTTCTGTATTTACTTAATTCTAACGTATCAAGAAATTTTTGGTCCTGTATCCATGTTGTAAAGCTATCAAGAAAAGTAACTTAATGGATACTTGGGTATTTTAATGAATCACCATAAGGCTGACAGGTCAGAAATATGATATTGCTTGAAATATATAATCCTTATCTCTGATTATTATTTTGTGGAAGAATTGAATGTGGGAATCAGGTTGAAAGTCACAAGACCCAAACAAGTTTTCTGTTTCATTCTTCCCTATGATTTTTTTAGAAAGATTTCATTCAAGATTCATTTAGATGAGTTTTTTTTNTTTTTTTTTTTTTTTTTTTTTTCATTTTCCATATATAATATATGAGTATTTCATTGATCTATTTGAAAAAAAAATATTTACTGCACTCAGAAATATACGGCTCTAGGCAGAAAAAAGGCAGAGTGCAAAAGTTTAAAAGAAGGGCATTATTATTCTAAAAAGGCAATAATTTCTTTCTATGTGCTTTACACGTTCTATTAAAAAACATAGTCAATTAGTAAATTATTATTATTTTTTTTTTACTTTACTTAAAATAGCAAGGCAATCATATTAATTACTAATTTTTATTAATAAATTAACATATATATTGAGTTACTGAGCTAATTAGCTTAGTAATTTATTTAAAATGCATGCATATATTAATAAATGTATGTTTTTAAGTGTCTGTAGTTATGATTTAATAATTAAAATGATTAATAACAATTATGATTTAATGATAGTGGAAGTAACTGCTAACTTTCAAAGACAAGTGCAACAAGCGGATGTAATGGCTATTTTTCCTTTCCCATATAAATCTATGTATTGACAGCAATGACAAACTAAGTAAAAAGAGTTAAAAATAACAAACAAATAACAAAATCCATTGTAGAGTTTGGGAGAAAAATAAAGAAGGGTTGAGGAAAGAAAGGGCAAAAAGGGTATGGAGTCTATTACATCAGGGCACTAATTTACTTCAGGGGCAACAGGGTGGATTTTTTTAAATAAAAGGGCTGCAGGGTGCTGCATCCTGTTTATCCTGCCTAAAATGAGCTCTGCTGTACAATGCATAACATATTCTGCTAGATCACCTGATTATAATATATACTGTACGATAGGGGTGCACAACCTTTTTGAGTGAAGGGCCACTTGCACAGCAGGCAAATTATGGTAGGGTCGCATGCATATTTAGTTATGTTAACGGCAAATTCGATAATTTTTATAAAAACATTAGTGCTCTAAGCACTAAATTTTTTTATCAGTAAACCTAATTACATATTTGCAGAAAATTAAATACTTTTATTTATTTGAATTTGTTTAAAAATTAAAAAAAAAACATACTTTAAAAAACTTTTTCCATTTTTCTCAGCAATTAATTTAAAGTTAAATTAATTAAATATAAATCTATGTAATTAATTTAAAGTTAAATTAATTAAAATACATATGTATATAAATATTGAGGGGGGGGGGATAAATTCTGACCCCCCCCCCCAAATTTTATTTTGTGCTTATAGAATGAAAGTGCAAAAAAATAATATTTGCATTTTATATAGTAATATAAATTTTATATAGTAATAGTAATATAGTAATATAAATTTGAATTAAATATTTTTATTTAGAAAAATTTTTAATGTTTAAAAAAAACAAAAAATTGAAACAAATCCATTATAGTAATAAATAAGATCCAATATTTATTTAGTATTTTTCTGATATTATTTCTATTTCTTGAAATATTAGAGGTTTTAAGAATTTTCAATAGAAAACATTTTCTTTTTAGTTTTGTCCTAAAAAATCACCTCAGCTAAAAAAAAAAGGAAAAGTTTAAAACAAAATAAATTACAGTAACTCTCGTTTTCCTCAAGTTTTCAAATTTTCCATAATGCAAAAATATTGTATTAAAATATCGGGATTCTAAATACCGCATTCAAAAGTATGATACCAACAGCTAAAACAAGTAAAAAATAACTTATATTTACGATAAAATATGTAAATAGAAATTTTATCAAATAGTGATTATTTAAATTCTAGATTAGAAATTCGCGTGTCATATTCACATCATAGTTAAAGTAATGGATCATCAAAATCATGACAAAAAGCATCAACATCTCACAAAATGAAATAAATCATTAAATTTACGATTAAATTAACACAAGTAAAGTGTGCCTAAAAGTAATTATTTAAAATTAGCATGTTTTAATGAAAATTTGAATTTTTAAAACTATGTGATGAGAATGCATTGCAAAAACTGCCGAAAAAAGGGTTTAAAAGCAACTTGGATTAATACTATCGGAAACTTGGAATAATATCAGCACAAATTAAGTGCAGCAAAAGGTGATAAATTAAATGTGTGATTTATAACTCACAAGTGGTATTATCGTAATAAATATATGTAGAGAATTTACTTACCATGTGAAAATTAGTAGTTATAAATGGCAAAAAAACTATCTAAACGTCGCTTGGATTTATGATTAAACTTGAAAAAATATAGCCCAGCAAAAAGTGATTATTTAAATAGGCGATTTCAAATATATGATAATAATAAAAATATGGGATTGTCAAAATCATGTGGAAAACAGTTCAGATAACTTCTTTTGAAAAAAGATGAAATTGGCACAAACAAAGCACTTCAATAAGTGATAAATTATCTGTGCGATTTATTACTCGCGAGTTGTAATAAATGTATTGAATGTATAAATTATGTGGAAATTAGTAGTTATGAATACAGAAATGATCTAAACAGGATTTATGATGAAATGGGCAAAAGCGAGGCATGTCAAAAAGTGATTATTTAAATGTACTATTTGAAACTCTCGTGTCATAATTATATCATCATAAAAATACTAGATTTTCAAAATCATGTAAAGCGTGGCAATAACTGTCTTTGGAAAAACCATTTAGATTTATGATGAAATCAGTACAATCAAAGAATGTCAAAAAGTGATAAATTAGATGTGCGCTTTATAACTCACAAATCATAATAAATGTTATGGAATCTTAAAAACCGCATGAAAATTTGTAATTATAAATGCCAAAAAACGATTGAAATGTCACTTGGGTTCTTGATGAAATTGGCAAAAATTACTAAAATTTGCAGTTCCTATAGTGTAATATCATATTAAAAATATTTCGTCTTTTAAAACCATGTTGAATTTCGTAGCAATAACCAATGAAAAAACAATCAAGAAACAACATAGATTTACAATAAAATCAATGTAAAATTTAGCACATCAAGAAGTGGTAATTCAAATGTGCAATACAAAATTTTAGAAATTTTTTCATTTTTCTAAAAAAAATAAATTAATAATTGCTTCCAGAAGCTCCTGCGGGCCTTAGGTTGTGCACCCCTATTGTACAATGCGATTTTTATACATAATTTGCAATATACATCTTTAATGCGCGATAATGGTGTGTGTTTTTTTTTTATGTAGGCTTTATGTGATTTATCATCATTGGGGTTTGAGCTATATGCTTTATTTTTTTATTATTCTCCATCATTGTGTTGCTTTATGTGAAAACCCAGCTGTTGACGGATTTCATTTACCTTATTGGGTAAGTAAAATGATAGTACTATTTTTTTATTGGCTTATTTCATATGTTGTTTTTATGGCTAGTTATGTGTTTTTCCAGTTAAAACTGGCCCAGTTTCTTTGTTTTATTTGTCGCAATTCCAGCTTTGTCTTAAGTCAGTAAACAAGGATTAAACCTGAAACTGCCAAGGAATTTAAATAAGAAGAAAAAGAAAAAAAACTGGGGAATATTGTTTATCTTTGCTATAACCAAGAAAAATTGTTTAGAAAACTTAAAAAATGATTTCAGATTTTCTCCATACAGTATGGCAAGAAAAAGTGAGCACCCTGAATAACTTTTGATCTAATGATTGAATTTTCATATACCCAATCCTAATCATTTGAAGGTTCAACCTTGCAATGTCTGTCTTATTTATCATGACTGTCATATTTAGTTCTAATGTATTTGGATTCTAGACCCTCAGATCACAATTTGAAAAATATGCTTTCAATATTTTATGCTAGAGAGCGATAAAAACTTTGGACACCTTAAAGTTAATTTCACTTTTTGCATATTTCAACATGGCTCCAGAAATAATTAAGAGTATTTTTTTCCAGTATATAATTGCGCATGATTATAAAACTTGCTTCTCCAGAAATAATTCCATGCAAAAAGTAATGTTTATTTATTTTAATGATGAGCTAAAAGAATTTTTATTTTAAGGTTTAAAATTTTTTACACCATCAAATGATGAAATCCAAAATTTGGGAGAATCTGTCTATAAATTTTGGAGAAATGAAAACATTAAAATCTTTCTGATAGAGAAATGTGCAAATGTGAAATTGACATTAAAAAGTAGAAACTTTAGAATATCTTCCTGTTTAAACTATTGGGACAATATTTTCCAGATTGAAGTTACTCTGCATATTTTGAGAGTCAAGAATGTAAATCTGTCACGAAATAAAAGGTAGGTTTTTCAGAGAAATTAACAATTTGAATGAATTTGTGAAATCTGATCATTAGATCAAACAGTGAGTTAACTTTTTTTTATGCACTGCAAATGTAGTCACAATAAGATAACCACAATGGTTGATGGAATTTTAAATTACCTGCTTGTTGAGAATCTTTTGAATTTACTTATTTTTAATGTAATAATTTTAAATTGAAACCTCTGTCCTACTCATTCATTAAGAGGTTTAAATTAGAAAATAAGTTTTATTTATGTGTAAATTTAAGCATTAGATTTTTTGCCAGGTCCTTCCAAGTTATAAGATAGAAAATTTGTTACTACTGTTAAATATGAATTTTAAATTGTTTAAGCAAGCAGTTTGTTAAAAAAATTAAAGCTCTGCATTTCCTAACATGGAATTTATGAAAACAATGTTCTTTTGTGACTTCTAATTACTATCTTAATTTTTATGTGGCCCTTTTTTTAAAATTATAAATAACCAAGTTAGGGTTGGGGCACTTAGTAACTAAGACCCCTATGCAACTGAAACAAAATTCGATCCAACTACTGGTTTCTGCTCAATTTATTCGAAAAAATTTCTGTTTCCTAATTCAACTGTAACAATATGAACGTTTCTTGTCACGTGACTAGCACGATAGTTTGATGTCGAAGGCAAAGTTCGATAGAACTATTTCTGACCAATCCTAAAGCAGATATTCTCCATTTAATGGCAGTGGTGGGGAGAAATCAAGGGGTAGAGAAGAAGATAAAAACTTGGTTACATTTTACAAACATTTTGTGACAATTTTATGTAAATAATCTGCTGGTTGAGCAATGTTATACAGTATAGGACCCCAAATCCGGCACTCGCGGGACTGACGGAATTCCGTATTTCGGAATTTGCCGAATTTCGGATCTCTTTCGAAAATTCCAATATGGCGCCCATATATTACAAAAATTCAACTATACTGTTAATTTCAGAAAAAAAATTAATTCCAATAAATTTAGTTAAGTTTCGATTGTAGATTATGATGGGATGAATTTAAAACTGTCCCATCTTAAGAAATTTCATTAATTAAAATAATCTACATCAGGGGTTTCCAACTTACTTGATGACGGGGGCCACAATTAAAATCACCAGTCAAATGGCGGGCTGCAACTTTATCAAAATTTAATATAGGACTCTTTTTATGTTTGAAGGAACATTAAATATTACTGTCAGATTTTTATCAAGTTGTACAAAACAAAAGTATTGAATTATAAATTAAAATAACAAGTATATTTTTAAAAATATTTAATTGCATAATTAAGAAATTATGGTCACTGTAACTTTATTGTGCACCTATTTATTAAACAATTAATATGAAACAGATATTTAACACAGCTGACACTCATTGGCGCCTGCAACAGGGACCAAGGAAGTGTACTTGCATTCGAATGGAAACTTAATAAAATAAGAATTATATTTTGCTTTTAAAATATAAAGTTTTTTTAATATTAAAAAGCAAAATAACAAGCAATACAGATAATGTCATCACGTATAATTTTGAATTTTCTCTTAATCAAAAACTTAGTGACAAGATTTTATTTTCTTTTAATTTAATTTTGTGATAAATTAAAATTTGTTTCGACTTATTAGGAATTATTGCAACAAAAAAAACAAAAAAAATTCTTGAGCATCTGAAATTAAGTTTTTTTCTTTTCCGCTCGGGCCATATTCAATTCAAAGAATTTAAATAAAACATGATATTCATTACCTCCTTTATGCATTTTAAAATTTACAAATGTAAAAAATTTCGTCCAAAATGAATGGTTTCAAAAAGTTAAATTGGAGAATAACTTTGAGAAAATTTCTGATACGCACATGCTAAATTATGTTCACAAAATACAAAAAAAATAAATAGAAAAGGTCATACACGATTATTTCTGTGTTTGAATAAATATTTTCTTGGATGCAAAACCTGAGAAATTTTTTTTCACCGTTGGTATGTTAAATTTCACAGAAACGAAGAAATTAGGTTTTATTTAACGAAAGAAAAGTATTTAAAACCCATATAGATTTTTTACGAAAATTGACCACAGAAAAATGACAACTAATATATTTTAGTTCGCGGGCCACAAAAAAAACACTTTGTGGGCTGGATGCGGCTCGAGGGCTGCCAGGGTAACCACTGATCTATATAATAAAATAACAAAAGATATTTTTTATAAGCGAACAACATTTATTTAATAATCTAACAACTAATAAGGATAAAAAACAAGCTAACAACTAAATACGATTAAAAAAATAAGCTATCAATTAACAAAAAAACTAACAGTGAATAACTAACTAATAAAAAAACAAGAGTATAATTTACATTCAATTAAATAAAAGCCACAAAAGGGATGGAATTGATTTTGTACCCCACTTGGTAGTTTCTATGTCTAAAGGGTGTGGCTAATTTATGGTCAAACAGGAAAGGGAAATGTGGGGACAAACTGGTAGAACACTTGCACAGCTGTCAAGATTGATTGATCAGTTTCTTCCAACTTGCATTTCTTTATTTTGTTCATTGGAAATGCAGGTGTTTTTACTTTTCCTTTAGAAACAGATGTTTCCTTTGACACAGATTTATTATTTTATTCATTCTTTTTTTTAATTTTTACAAGATAAAATAAAGTTACTTACTTCAACAGAATAAAATTCCAAATAGAAAGAGAATATAACTGATTTTTTTTTCTTATCAATAAAAATTTCTTAAAAAAAACCCCCATTTAGATTGGATTAAGTGCCGAATTTCAGGTCCTGCCAGATTTTGGGATGCCGGATTAGGGGTCCCATATTGTACTAGTTTTTGATTAAGAGAAGTAAAGATTTCGAATTACTTAATAGCATTTACAAAGTAATTTGTGGATTGAAATCTAGAACTATGATTCGATCTTCATCAATAGTTGCTTTTCATTCATGCTTGTTTGTAATTTATTATTCCTAAAAATTAACTGCCAATTTTTGACTAATTATAATTTTTACTGGATAATTAGAATTATATTATCTCATTACAGTTCTTGATACGGACTTTGATATGTTTTTCGATCTGGTTAGATGCATGAGTTTTTTTTTTATGTATAAATATTTTTAAATTGTTACAAGATTAGAAATTACGAATTGTTATCTAAGACGATTGTTAAAAAGTACTTTTATCATAGTTTAATATTTTAAAATATGTAATCATAATAAATTAAAACGTTTAATAAAGAGAATCTTAAACAAAACTTATCATCCTTGTATCCAAAATTTGTTTAAAATAATTATTTTAAATCAAACTCAATTTTATTTTTAAAAAAAAAAATCAATAAATGTTATTAATACTTTAAAATATTTAAAAAGTTTAAGTAATATTTTAAATGTGTTACAAACATGAATATGGAAGATAAATTTGAAATTCTGTGAGCAGACGCTAATTCGAAAGTGAGAGTTAAAACTGTTCCTCTTAGACTTAGACTTAGAGGTTGGGCAGCTCTGACGAGCAGGGCACATCGACCAGAGGTCTATTGTACCCAAACCCTAAAATCATGATTAGCATGAAAGCCCTATGGCTGAAATAAAATTCAGCAAGCACCTTACAGGAACATCTTGCAGTTCCCAGGCATTGACAATATGCTGTCCTAAATGCTCAAATCTTTGAGCAGAATAGACCTCACAATCACAGAGTATGTGTCGTGATGTCTCTTCTTCTAGATGACATCCCCGACAAAGAGAATTTGATTCAATTCCCATAATGTTTAGGTGTCTTCTGAGGATACAGTGACCAGTAAGAAGACCAATGATCTTCCTTATACTGTTTCTGTTAAGCTTTAAGAGCTCCTTTTGACGTACACTAGGACAGTCTCGATTCAGCTCCTTAGCTTGTCTTTGACCGTCAGCAGCGCGCCACTGCTCATGGGCGATCTTGCCGTAGAGCTTGAATATGGTTGCCCTAAATGAGGAGGGAGAAATTCCCAGCGCAGGTTCAGGGCCCCAGAAAATTGCATTAGAGCCAGCCCGTGCTGCTTCGTCAGCTAGCTCATTTCCACCGATACCCATATGTCCTGGTACCCAATGCAGGGATACCTTGTTATGAGTGGACAGGTCACAGAGGACCGAGAAGCATTCCCACACTAACAAAGAGGTGAATTTACACCTTGACAGTGATAGGAGAGCAGCCTGACTGTCAGAACAGATGCGGATAGTCGTATTTTGATATCCTTTGTCTATGCATAACTTGCAGCACAAGATAATGGCATAGACCTCAGCCTGAAAAACGGTGGCATAATTTCCCAGGGGAAAGTGAAGTTTGGTACCATCATTGGAGCAGTAAATTCCTGCTCCTGATTTGGCACCAATCTTTGACCCATCAGTGTACCATATCAGGCATTTGCCTTTAAGCCACCGAGGAGAATTGAACCATTCATCTCTAGTAGGAAAATGGATCTTGAAGGGCTTGTGAAAAGCATATCTTAGTGACATATAATCACTAGGCATAATAAAAGAGGATAAATCCTTCACTTGTGAAACAAGATGTCCCCATGACAAGTGTTTGGAATTCTCTTTCCATAGGCCAAGGTACATAAGACGCTTTACGCCTGTCTGAGCTTCAACTTCAATGCGTAAGTTCAATGGAAGAAGCCCAAGTAAGCTCTCTAGAGCAGCTGTAGGAGTGGTCCTGAGACAGCCTGACAGGGCTACACAGACCATTCTTTGTAGTCTGTTAAGATTAGACCTTGCAGAGCTCAATCTAGTCCTTGACCACCAGACGATTGCGCCATAAGTGATGATAGGACTAATAATCATTGAGTATATCCAGTAGACTATTTTGGGGGACAGTCCCCATGTTCTACCAATAGCATTTCTACAAGACCAGAAAATTTTTCTGGCCCTGTTGGTGCAGTATTCAAGTTGAAGACCCCAATTTAGTTTGGAGTCAAAATAAACCCCGAGAAACTTGACTTTCTCCGTGAGTTCCAATTTATGGTCCAGGTAGTATACATTACCTAGATCAAGTTGCCTTTTCCGTGTAAAGGCTACATAACTTATCTTGAATGGATTGACAGATAAGCCTGATTTAAAACACCACCTAGCTACTTCTAGGAGTGCATTATTCATGATATCAGAGACAGTTTTTCCATGTTTGCCTCTGACAACAATAACACCGTCATCAGCGTACCCGATACAGGGAATGCCAAGAGCAGTTAACCGAACTAACAGGGAGTCCATTACCATACACCATAGGATAGGGGACAAAACCCCTTGGATCGTCGGCACTGAACGATCTTGGAAGAGAACTACCATTTTTTCTATACGCATCTTGCTCCTGTCTCAACTTCCTCTCAGCCGTCAGATCTGGATGGAGTCTATCTAAGACGGTCCTTAGCTTCCTCCCCATCAACAGTTCCGCAGGACTAGCACCTGTTGTGGTGGTGGGAGTACAATGTTGTTGAAGAAGGAACTTGGCAAGCCTCTTCCTCCAATTTCCCTTCACAATGCGCCTTAGGGCATCTTTGACGGTCTGGACTGTTCTTTCAGCCTGACCATTTCCGGACGGACGTCTTGGTGCGATCATGACCCTTCGGACGAGATTCCTCTCTAAGAAAATCTGGTACTCCGATGCTCGAAACTGACCTCCG